GCTCACGATAGTCTCTAACACCACATATCATGTTTGTATCATTAGCTGGAACTGCATCAGCTTTGGAGACATTACCCTTTTTCATCCAACAAGTACCACCATTCAACGTTGTCCATGTATAATGAGTGCAATCCTTTACTTGAAGACATGCCGGGCCGCAGCGGTCTGCTGAAACTTGAACATTAGACAGATCATTTCCAGGAAATTCACAGGATCTGGCCCAATTCTGTCCATTCCAATAGACTGTCTGGTCTATTATATGGAAAAAACTTGAAAAGTACAAAGATATTTTTTTTAAACAAAGAAAATTATCATTATCGTCGTTTGTAAAAATAATTGTATTTTGTAGACGACTTTAGAATTCGTTCGACCACTTAGAATAATAGAAATGTTGACTTTATCAGATGGAGTACGATGAACTCTATCAAATAGTATAATCTTTAGTTCAGAATTGTCAGTTTCACACAGGCATAGAAACATATATATTAGAGTACTTTGAAATATGAATATTACATCGAAGATAACCCATAATCATTCTGTTACATTCTTTTTTACTGCTCACAAATCTCTATTTGCTACGCTCGCAATATCAAAAGGTATTTCTTCAAGACTTGATTATTTGTTCAGAAAATCATCAAGATACAGCTCTTCATCATGAAGAATACTACATTTTTTATTTCTATAGGATTTTATGCACTTTGTTTAGTATTGGTTTGTTTTCATTTCGCTGTATGCTTTGAACACATGACTGTTCATCAGATTAAGAGCATTCGGTTCAGTTCTACATTAAAAATATGCTTCAATACAAAACGTACGTATTGATCAATACCAATAAACAAATAAATTGTTCTCGAAACAATACTTGAATCAATTCGTTTGTATTTCTGTTTCGCTTCTATTAGAAATAGATTCGTATCTGAAAGCGTTAGTTTATATTTCATCGCAAGTTTTGTACTGCGTTTGATCACTGTAAGTTGCATAATTGCAAAGCTGGTTTTAAAATCATTCGATAGTTACTGTATCTCATAAAAATACGATGGTATTTTCAGCTTCGTCATCCTGGTTCCGGCAACATCAGATGAATTCCTATGTGCTGATTTCAGTTACGATTTAAAATAGTTTTACCGATATAAAACTTCGAATTTACCGCTGTTTTTATTAAAAATGAACTTAATAGTGCAATCTTTAAAATCAGTGTATAGAAACAATCTAAACTATTAGTTAGTCTTAATCACTTATAGTTATAGTTCTAATATCCACGTGTAGGCATTCAATGTTGTAGAAAACTAATAAAGGTTTGCTGTGATCTATATGAAAATTCCTGTCTATTCTTGCACTTTTTAGAATTATTATGTTGAATTTTGTGTAGAAGGTTGTGTTATTTCCATTGAAATTCATATTTTCAAGTTTATACATGTCTTTTCACACATTTATAACTCTCTTAAGGAGATATTGAAATGAATTCACGTGTGTTATTGGGTAAGCAGCTATATTCTTGAGTATTCATACATATTCTTAAGTACCAGACATACTCAATGACTTACGTAGGTAACTAGTCTCCTAGATATCGAGCTCGACTTATCCATTACTATTCGTAATCACTCGTGCTTTATTGTGACTCTAAATCAAGGAGCCAAAAAAGCATTTAACTGGCAAAGAGAGTTCCAGTATCGGTAATTAATTTAGTAAGAGACTAGTCATTTTCTAGTCCTCATTAATTAAGGTAACAGTATTAAAGAACTTTATTAGCAACTGCAAAAACGAGTTTACACAAGAATCATTTTGCAGACGTCTGATGCTTTCTCTTAATTCATCTACCCATTTGTAATTAACTTTTTCAATTCTACTAATACGAGTAACAATTTCGTTGGCGATGATTTTAAGATACAATAACACTGGTCTAAGATAAGTTTTAAAAGGAATTAGTGTCAGATGTCAACGCCATCTTGTTGAAACACAAAAAACAAGTCTGAATGATTTTTTTAATGTTAGCTATTTTCATAGGTAAAAGCTTCCGATAAACATTCAAATTTTGGTATTTTTCAAATTAACATATATAAGAGAGATAATGTTTTATCAATTGCTCTAAACTTGAAAATTGGTGCTCCAAGAAATTTCTGAAGATAAGAATCTTTTCCAGACTTTGTACAAATTTCGAAAGCTGCAATGGCTTTGATCTTGACCGTTATTTGCATAGTATCCTTTTTGTCGTATATACCATATATGAAGGTTTAATTAAATTCAGGTTTCAACTTTTGAATTTCAATTCACTTTTCAAGTTTGACACTAGCCAACTGAATAGAAGTGATCAGAGAAAATGTCAAAAACTGCGTTCACATTCATGAATTTCTTCGAACAGTAAGGGTTTTCGCTTTTGGAAAATCAGACATCGTCTTTAAACTAGATGACACATTGAACCTACATCTTTGTTTCGACTACAACTACAGTATAGTTATGGTTTATCCATCGTTTGCTACAAAATCTATGCAAACAACATGTTTACGTACATAAAATCAGAAGATCCCAGTTTTCAGAATGAGTCGTCGTTATAATTTTAATACAAAAGTAGATGAAACAACTGTACCTGACATTTGATTGCTAAATTTCGTTCCCAGAACAGAGCCTAGAATAGCTGCCATGATGCACATCATTACCAATATGCACGTTGGAATCACAAACTTTTTCTGGATATACCATCGACGATTTGACTGTCTGATGAAAGTTTTCAATAAAATTCTGTTAGTTATATCCATAGAAAACCCACCAGATTGTTAGAAAAGCTATCTCAACACCGATTGAATATCTTCTAAATAGACTTTATTCGGTCTATTCTATCAAAAGCTATCACAAACAATGTTTGATCATGCATATTGAAAATCAAAACATAACTCAAGGAATTGAATCATAAAACTGCTTTACCAGCCGAAAGATGTTTCCATTACGCAACTTGTTTTTTTTTTGTTAGTTTCAGATCTGAAAACTTTCGTGACTGCAGTTTCATCGAAACAGTTGATATCGTTTTCAAATACTAGTACATTGTGTAGGCCTATGACCCATATTTTTCGAAATCGTGTTTATCTAGCTAGCTAAATATATCAATTTGATTCTCAGATTGCTAATGATTAGTCTTTTGACAAAAAACATAAGTACTTGTTTCTTTTTGGATCCTATTATGATCTTCAACATGGGATCGAGTTGGTGAATATGACAGCAAAATTTGGTCCTGCTGATCGATTACCCATGTCGTATAGAACGGCCCGTAAGAGGCCTTAAACGACTCGAAAACGGTGAAAAACGACTTCCGTTACGATGATTGTTTACGTACCAGCGGAAACGACTGTCGTTACGACCGATCCTTTTTCGTCGTTTCACACTGTTTTTCACCGTATAAACATAAGGATCTTCAAATCATCATTAGACATCCTTTCATGAAACATAATCGATTGGTCGCTGTCTCATAAAAAACTAATAATATTATTTATCCAGATTGCTCACATCATCTCGTTCAAAAGCAAATATTTTGACTAAAAAAATATGTGTGTTTATTTTTATTCAGATACGTCTCAATAAAATGTTCAATAGTCAGTATTTTATTCAAATAAATTTATTTATTTTTTTTTAGAGTTCGAATCAATAAAATATTTACGAACCAGCATTTTATTTAAAGAAAATAAACTTATTTTTTTCATTTCGAATGTAAGTCAATACAATATTTCACGATCAGAATTTTATTTAAATAAATAAATTGATTTTGTTTATTTAGAAATTAAGTCAACAAAATATGTAAAGATAAGTATTTCATTGAAATTAAAAAAACAAATTTTTTAGATTTTAAATCGATAAAATATTTCACAACAACTATTTCATTTAAATAGATAAATTCATTTTTTTTTATTTAGAACTTAAGTCAATAAGATATTGAACGAAAAGTATTTTATTTAAAGAAAATAAACTTATTTTTTTTATTTAGAATATAAGTCAGTACAATATTTTACAACAAGTATTTTATTTAAATAAATAAATAAATTTTTTTTATTTAGAAATTAGGTCAATAAAATAGTTAAAGAGAAGCATTTCATTTAAACAAAATAATTTTATTTTTTTTTATTTAGAGTTTGAATTAATAAAATATTTCACAACAAGTATTTCATTTAAATAAATAAATTTATTTATTTTTATTTAGAAATTAAGTCATCAAAATATGTAGAGACAAGTATTTCATTTAAACAAAGTAATATTTTATTGAGAATTTATATCAATGAAATATTTAAAGACAAGTATTTTTTTCAATGGATATATTTTTTTATTGAGACCTTATCCCAATGAAGTGTTCGAAAATAACTGTCTTTTTAGACAAACAAAGTTTATTTGTTGTCTATATGGTAGCTGAGGAGAGAAGAAGCCCGTTCTGGGACAGCGTATTAATAGAGTCGTAAACGAGGAAAAACGGCAGTCATTTTTCATCGTTTAAGGCATTAATCACACCGTTTCGTCGCCGTTTTAGGCAGTTTAAGACGTCGTTTCAGACGGTCGGAATGATCGACCTGGGTTGTGCAAGTTTTTAGAGAAAATAAAAACTTAGTATTCAAGGAGGATGATTATGCTTGATTCATCTATGCACTTGAAAAGGCTTGAAAAATGTAGTTTGATTACAGCAAAAAGCAGAGGACTCTTTGTCGTTCTTTCACGATTGGGTCTTCATTCCTTTTGCACCGATTTTATTCTTGTAACATTCATAATCCTAAGATTTATTTTACGATGTTGCCTGTGAACCTTGATCTTCGATTTCAGCTTCCAATTTAAATTGGAAACTTTATTAGTAAGTTATAAATATGAAGCTAGACAGTAAGAATAGACTAATACTACTGGTATACAATCACTCGTATGGTCTTCATACGAAATCATAGATCCTCGCCAAATGTATTTTGTTATATGAAGCAAGATGAAACTTACTCAATTTTTGGATAAAGGCAAGCATCTGAGAACAGACATATTTCAATTCAAAATAAACTGTCGGCAATGTTCAATTTACCTTCGAATGGAGGTTCCAGTAGTGGTCTCTCTGGTATCATTTGTTTTAAGTGAATGATGTGCAGATCAGGCGCTGGATTTAAAAGTGATTGTACTTCCATAAATGTTCCCGGTAACAATAAAATTTCCTCCTCGTCTTCAAAATATGAATGAGCACGTATATTCTTGCCATTTAATACTTCGATGGAAAATAGTGTCCTCTCTCCTGTTGTACCCAAATAGAGATCATTTTCTAATACGGTTAATGATTTTGTGGTGGATGAAAAAGCCCACCACGTAATTTGAGCACCTTTCGGAAATTCATTCGTAGCATTCTTTCGTACACCACGCCATACGACCTGTGCTGTTGAACATGGTACTTTAACCAAGGCAGTAAGAAAAAGTTTAAGATATTTGAACCACGGTTGTAATTCCTCTTGATCACCTTTTTTAAGAGCATGATTAAGATAAGAATAAAAACTTCTATCTGCATTATTCCACTCCATTGTATAGAGATAAATCGAAGCTGATTCATCACGAGTCAGTGCATCGGGTGGATCATCTGGAGTATGTTCTAAAGCCATTGAAACATATGTGAGTATATCAGGAATAATGAATGTTAACGGTACGCATGCTTCAGTAAGCGGAAGTATTGGTTCTTGAGCATAGCCGATGAAAGGGCATAGCATTGCTCGATCATTGGAATCTTTCATTAGTAGGCGAGAGTTTCTACGTCGAAGTTGAAGATGGTTGTTGTTCATTATTTTCTCGTGTCTATCGTTTTCAAACAACTTCTTAAGTTTATACATTATGCTGAAGATAGTTTTGTTATCTAAAACAAGAAAAATGTAGAAACTAGCAAATAGATTGATACTTATTGGAAGAGTGTTACGACAATTTAGAACCAATTCAGTGCTATTGTGCTGTACTCAAATATGATTAACTTAATCGCGAAATGACATAATTTAAGAGTAATTTAATAAAGTGCTGCTATCTTATCTTCTTCAACTCTTCTTGATGTATACAAATTAATGTTCTTGCTTTTAGGAAAAAGTGGATTTCATCAGACCTGTTTGAAGCAATGCGTAAAAACCACCCTATGCAGCACAAAAACTCTTGAAATCGATGCAATATAGAAGCAATAGTTCGGACGGATACGTCTTTCAAATTGTCCGATGACTTCGGACTTTTTCTTGTCCTTAAGAAGAAGAATTTAGACGATTACCACCTTAAAAATTCGAACAAAATCACACTGGAAATACTGCGTCTGAACGCCATCAATATTTGAAGCTTTTCTGACAGAACCGATCGGTACATCTGCACTATCATCGGTACCAATAGTTAACTAATGTTATCGAGGGTGTAGGTGTGAGTTAAAATGAGATGTCTACATCCACACCATATGTTATGAATATAAATGAGTACGTAGAGAAATAAATAAATAAACGTTATGTGATAGAATTTTTTATTTGTTATTATGTACAGTACAGTGAATATTCCTAATAAGAACAACTTATTCGGAGAAGGGAAAATTTTGGTTTTTTTCAGATAGTGTTGAGGAAAATGAAAAACTTTTTATATTATTGACTAGAGAAAAGCCTGTTGAATCGAATGATCAAAAAATTCTTCAATTATGTGGAAAATTAAATTAGTAACAGTTAGCGGGTGGTTCAATTGGTTCTTACCAGAAACACTGTTTCTAATTCGAACAGCAACGAAAAAAGGTCTTCCTAATAAAAACAATCTACGCAAGATACATAGAATATTTAATATTTTTAGTAGATGAACTTTTTCCTATCTGAACTCGAGAATTTTCTAGCGCTTACGTCACAAAAACTGTTCCTTAACCGATGATGCATTCATTTCCAGTGATTTAAGATAAACGGAGTTTTTTCTTTTTTAGCAGTGACATTACTTCAAAATTACGCTATTACTAATATATGATAAATTGTAATAATTCAATTGTAATGTCACGTCGATCAAAATTATAAAAACTTGTATTTTCTTCTTGATTTACTTACCCAAACGTGTACGTATATTATAGGAAACATCAAATTTTAAGTAAAAATAAACTTACAATAGAAGGTTGTGCACTGTAATAAAAAGAGATTGACCATAGTCAGATCAATTGAATGCTCTCACTTCTCAACTAATTAATTTAAAATATGAGTTTCGCATAGCGTGCACACACCGAGATATTAGAATTTCAAGATACTTACTCTGTCATGTGTTTATACTACAAAATTGTAGCAGCATATTTTTTCTTTTCTCGTCACGGTTGGATAGGTCAAGACGAGTTACAAAAGAAAAAATGATATCATGCATATTAAAAACCAGTTTTATAACAATTAGAAATGTGTGTTTATTACCCATATATTTATCTGTAATGTTTTCTTGGACTCCATTAAATTGGTTGTTAGTAGGTGTGATATTATTTTTCTTATGAAACTCGTTTTCGTCTATTCAACCATGACGAAAAAGAGAAAAAAAAATGCTGCTGCAGTTTTGTAAGGTGAGCACGTGACAGAGTAAATATCATAAAATTTGAATATTTTGATTTGTGTACACTATGCGCAGCGCATACATTAAATTAGTTAGTTTGGTAGTGAGAACATTCATTTGATCGAAATGTGATCAATTTCTTCGTCTTACCAAACACAATCTTCCGTTGTCAGACAAGTTTGGTTTTTAATCAGGCAACAAACTACGAAAAGATATTTTTTGACTTAAAAATAAATTCTTATTTTCATTTCCATTAACAGAACCTACTACGTATATGTTTCTTTTAAGTAGATACAGTATGCATCTTCACTCGTTCATTTTCTAATATGTGTACAAATAACTTCTGTACTGTCATCAAGAAATGATCTTCGAAAAATATCTTTATGAGTGTTGCGTAGAATATAATTCAGTAAAACTTAATAACATAATACATACATACTTTTTAATATTATCTATCAACTAAGTTACATGTGAACACAGTTTAACATCGATTAAAAAATACTATGCAAATAAACATAAGTTTAAAGATTCTTTTTTTTTATCAGAGCCTACTCAGCCAATTGAACTTCAATCGGATACATTGCGAACTCTACAACTTTCGAAAATGCAGTCAAACTTCAATAAAAGTTTTCCGTAGCTTACATTAGTTGTATCACTGTCTAATATTCAACACAGCAAAGATAATCAAAAAGTATCTGATTTATGTGCCATAATGATAATAAAGAAAAACTTTACATTATTCAATAATCGAGATTTTGAGTTGTTCATTATAAGATGAAAAGTCTCTTGAATAATAGAATGCTAATAAAACAAGATATCACATTTGATCACAGTTAACTTATAAATATGTATGTGTTTCTATTATAAGTTTACCATCAGAAAGAATGTTTTGCACAACAGGTCGTTTAACTTACAACAGACGTTCAAGACTGACACTTGAGAATGCGGATGTATTTTTATTCTTGAATGAAAAACAGCATAAAAACTGGTTTTGTGCCGGATATATTTCAGAACGTACTCATTATTTTCTCGTTCTTTATTGCTTGTGTACCCGATGAACTTGACATATACAATAGTGTGAAATTCAGAATAAAGTTAGTAGTTTGATAAAACTTAGCCGAAACACCCACACTCAATTATCTATCAAACGAGAAAGTCTTTTGAATAAAATTTTTGTTAACTGGCAATTACATATTTTTGTAAGTGGCCTTTGAATCTGGAACGATGCGCATTGTTTTCCAAACTTTTTTAACACCTTCGTCATCAACAATGCTAGTATGTTCATGACCCTGCACATAATAAAGTGATTCATAGATATCAATAGTTTTCTTTTGATTCAATACAATCAATAATATCAACACCAGTAGTTTTAATTAAAATGAAATCTTATTCTATCCAATGTATCAATTTTGAAGAATACAAACCAGATGCTCGGCTCTTAGACCGAAATAAACATTTTACAATTTCATTATAAATACTTTGTTTTTGAATACTTTTTTTCTCAAAACTTTTCACTTAGGGAATTAATATGTTTGTCTAATTTGTTATAATAAAACAGTTTCTCGTGGTCGATTCGGACGGTTGTAGAATCTGATTCAGACATTTTTTTTATTAGATGTCACACACTTATCAAAATTGATATTGCTTATTGACAAGATTCCTATGACTAAAATTTTCTTTTATTTTATGCCACTTCACTTTTAGTAAAACACATTACTGTATGAATTTATTTCTAGCTGAATCTTAGCTTGGCTCTCCAAAATATATGTAGGCCGTAGATAATACTATTACTCATTTATCGTGCAGCTGATATCTGTATGACACAACGGTAAGTATAGGAAAAACAATAATAACTTTTGACTAGTAATTTATCGACAGTACGATAATGTAGACTTATACAAAACGACTAAAAGTGACTCTAATAGCCAGTGTTTTGACACAACTAAATATAGAAAGTATTACAATTTTGACGAATTAGTTATAAAATAAGTTTTCGTTCTCTAAATTCAATTAATCCTATCATTACTTCAATGATAAAATTCACAAAAAATGTCAATGCAAAATATGAAGATTTTTAATATTATTTATATAAACCTTTTCACTTTCATTGAAAACTAGTTTTAAGAAATCAAAGATTGTTCGACGTTTCAAACAAGTATTTCACGAAAAATCAATTAATACTGAACACTAGCGACATCTACTATCATCTTTTTTTGTTTTTATTTATTTTAAAATAAATAATTTTATTAATAGATACAAAAGAAAAATTTCAATCGATGTTTATCAAAGAATAATAAATGCATATTGATTGGTGATTTCACCATCTGTTAATAATGCATTACGAACCGAAAGAGTATATTATATTATATTAAATCGAATTGTTTATTTTGGATATTGTTCATGAGTATTCATAATGATAAACTATTGAAATTAACAGTTTTTTTAGATTTTTTTTTCTTTTGTGTGATCTCTTCATTTCTTTTTGTTCACTTTTAAAATGTCTCGTACCCAACAAAAATTACAAGCTATGTCAGCTCAAGAATTATTAATACAAGAAAAAAAACGATTGATAGAAGAAAAATTGCGTTTAGATAATACAAAGAAAAATAATAATGATTGTAAGTTAACTATATTCTAAAAAAAAGAATTAATTTAATCTTATGAATTTCTATCTAGCTGTTCATCAAAATAATGTAAACAACAAGTAAGATAATAAATTATAGATTTACATAATATTTTTGATTAAAAACAAAAACATTAGTAGTTCGGAACATCAATCAGTAGGAAATAATATTTTTAAAAATGACGGTTCATTTCTTGAACAATTTCGAAAATTTCAAGGACAATCATCAATATTAACATCACCGGAAATAACAAATCAAAATAATAATATACAACAAGTAAATTCACTTTTTTTCTCCACGAAAATTAATCTAATTGTATAAGTAATATTTTAGTTATCCTCACGCGAATCAGAATATCTTTCTACAAATTCTTCACAACAATTTGGATCCCCTTGGTTTTCACCTAATTCTCAACCTCCATCTATGTTTGATCAACACGGTCCACCATCATTTCCAATACCTCCATTACCATTCAATCCACGTATATACAATTTGTTCTCTCATAAAAATAAAATCATAATTTCATTCTCTATACTTTAGCTCCATTACCACCTCCTTCATTCAATGCACAATCAGCTTTTTTTCCATCTTCATCATCTACTTCAAATAATCCATCTAATTTTATTCCACAAGCTCCTTCTTCAACAACATCATTTCTATTACCACCACCTGAATTTCTTTCAAAAATACTTCAAACACCACCTCCACCTTTACCAGTTCCTGCTCCTGTAAATAATTTATCAACAACAATAAACAATAATAATAATGTTAATAATGCAGATCTCTATGATCCATTAAAAGTGGAAGATGAAGATGAAGAAGATACAGAACAAAAAAAACTATCAAATCAAAAATTAATAAATCGAACATTTAATATAAAAAAGGAATATACAATTAAAATTGAACCAAGTAAGTTTTTTACTAATTTTATTTTTAAAAAAAAAAATCTTATCTACATGTTTTTTTTTTTAGATCAATACACATCAACAAATATTAATCGTAAGTATTGTTCTAAACTAACAAAACAAAAATGAAAACTTTAAAAAAAAAACATTTCATTAAGTAGAAAATTTCATTTTTTTTTTTTATATTTCCTTTTTTTTTCCCATATTTAACAAAAAAAAAACATGATCATTAATGCCATGTTTGTCCAGTTTCTTCCCTAGAACATGAACGTCAGAAGCATGATAATGGTGGAAATCGTCGACGTCAAGTCGCCACCACATCGACCGATCTTTCTACTTCGTCGGCGTTGTGGTACATATACTCACACACACACACACACTTTGGATATATTTATTCTTGTGTTGAGCTATCATTTTTTTCTTCTATTTTTATTAATATGTTTATTAATTCAATGTTTGTTTGTTTTCTATTTTATTTTACAATATGAAGGTGGAATGATGATGATGATGAAGGATCCGATGATCGAAAGACAAAATCAATGACTAACATTCGTAAATATGATTTCTATTTGATAATTAATCAATTATTTATTTTATTTTATTTTAAAGAGAAAAATGAAGAAAATAATCGTAAACGTAAATCACGTTGGAGTAGTACGTACAAAAAAAAAAAAACGTTTTCTTCAAAAAATATATCAAAAAAAAAAAAAAAAAAAATTTTAGTCACTAAACAAGAACCTATGGAACATAAATTTGTTGAACAAATTCATGAAGGTTTAAATAATTAATTTTTGTTATTTCTATATGTAATCATTTTTCTTTTTTGTTTATTCAGCAACGGAAAAAGCAAAAAAATTTGTTACACAACTTAATGAACAAATGAAATTATATCCTGAAGGATATGATGGAACAAAAATGAATGATGAACAACGTGGACAATATGTTGAACAGAAAGAAGTATCAAAAAGAAAGAAGATAATTAGTTTTTTTTTTTAATCAATAAATATTTCATTTAGCTTCAATCAATCTATCAAACTATGATGGTTAAAAGACGTGAATTAGAAAAAGTTGCTCGACAACAACAACATAAACATGAATATGATTCTGATGAAGAAACTGATACTAAAACAGGTACCTGGGAACATCGATTACGTGCAGTTGAAATGGATATAACACGAGGTTTGTTTTTTTAAATTCATATCTATTGAAATTTAGTTAAATAATTTTTTTATTTAGAATGGGCAGTTAAATTAACTGAAATGGCACATGGAAAACATCATATTGGTGATTTTATTCCAGCACATGAATTAGAAAAATTTATGAAAACTTATTCAGTAAGTTAAATTAAATATAATAGAATTTTTCAAAATATAATCATTGAATGCAAAAAAATATTTCCTTTTCCAATTCCAGGCATTAAAAGAAGGTCAAACACCTGATGTATCTGATTATCGTGATTTTAAAATTCAAGCTGAAAATATTGGTTATCGTCTTTTGGAAAAATTTGGATGGAAAGAAGGACAAGGTTTAGGTAAAAATTTACAAGGCATTGTTAATCCTATTAATAAGTAAGTGTAAAATAAATTGATTTGAAAATTATATGAATTATACTTATATATATATGTTCAGAGGAACAACACCGGTAAATCATTCTGGTCTTGGACAAGATCGTCCATCAGAATTAGATCGTAATGATGATGAATTTCAAATGTATAGAAAACGTATGATGCTTGCTTATAGATTTCGACCAAATCCATTAGTACATATAATCAATGTTTACTTTTTGAATAAAACTAAAAATTTAATTTTGTTATTTTAGAATAATCCACGTCGAGATTATTATTAAATTGAATTTGATTGCATCGATTCGATTTCTTTTCTTTTCATTATTTTTTTTTTTTTTGTAAATAACCAATGTAATATTTTCCTCTGTACTCTTGTTCGTGACTTTAGTGTTTGTTTTTTTTTTCTTTGTTCGATTGTATTCATATACACATTTAAACTTTAATTTAAAAAAAAATGAATACAATATTGATTTCTTTTCAATAACAACGAATTTGCAAATAAGTATGAAAATAATCAACAAAAAAAACACCTTTGAATATTATCGAGATAGATTTCACCGATGAAAAAATGATTTATAAACATTAAGAAATGTAACGCATGTTTCAAAATCAATAGTTTTTTTCAGTACTTAATCAATATTTCTATCATGTTTCATAGATAAAATCTTTACAAATCTATGCAAAGCATTTTGACATATAGAAAATTATCTTGAAAAATTTTAAGCTGTCGATAGTAATTAGCTTTTAAATATAAAAAAATGTCGTTTGAAATGGATATCAGTGAATACATGATAATGTTTCTGATAGGATGAAGTGTAGCAGTCGAAGTTTCTATTCTGGTCCTTAATTTTTATAACAAAATAAAATTTACATTGAATTCTTCTAAACTTCAGATAAACAAAATGTTTGATTGTAAAAAGTTAGTCGAAAACACATGAATATTAAGAAAGACCTTTTCAATAGTTTCAGAATTCCTTGTTAGGCTTTTTTTTAATCTAGAACGCGTCACAGCTAAGATGAAGGAAGCAGAGATCCAAACAGACGATTGGGGCCTGTCTGTCGTGTTTTTTTCTAAACTTTCAATAGAAAACTTCATTTTTTCAGTAGAAAGTGCAGATATCAAAATATAATATGGAGAATTTTTGTATCAATTTGATTCAACATAATAAGAACTATTAATAAATTATAATTACATTGTTCATTGTCCATTTATTTACTTAGTTAATTTATCTATTTCGGTAGGTTACTGATCACACTTTTTAATTGGTTGTTATTAAGATTTTATATAAAACATTTATGAAGTTTTATGTTTCTGATTCATATTTATATTTTCGTAATGCGGTCAGATATAATAAGTCTTCTTCAACTAGCTCGTCAAATTAAGTAAAAAGATTTTTACTCAAAAACAGCTTTTTCTAAATGTTGAAAGCTTCCTTTTTGTTTTTACTCAATAGATCTTTCACTTAATCATGTTATTTTGATATCAGCAACTTTCTTGTTTTCTTATCAAGAGACAGTTCTCTACTTCTACTCAATTATTATTCTAATATTAGTATGCAAAAAAAAGTACACAGATCTAAACAGGCAGGCCGAATAAAAAACGACAGGTAGGCAGATCAAGCTCACAAAAAGTAAGCCTGTTTTGAACCTCTGATACATGCTACAGTTGATAATGTTTCATAATTAGCTTCTATATTCAAACGTTTTGTACAAATTTTAAGTGTATTCAATAAAAAATCTTTTACAAAAAGAAAACAATTCTTGACAATAGAAAATGACACAAATTAGTATATAGTCATTTTGAAGAATCAACTTTACTATAATCTTCATCTATGACAACTATATTTTTCATTATATGAAAATCAACAATCTAGATTGTTTAGATGAACATTTCTATATCTTTTCAAGTTTTGAAATGCTATTTTAATCAAGAAAAAAAAAACGATTATTCAACTGTAAATCAAATCATTTCAATTTCTTTTTTTCTTTCATTATTAAAATTGCTTGTACAAATACCTAAATGAATATACAGCGGCAATGAGATGACTAAAATAAAGAACATTATGTTCATAATTTCATTATCACGACATGCTGCCATATTGTACCAGCGGTATCTTGTTGAAAATGTGATAACAACTATACAATAAAAGAAATAGAGAAAGTGAAATGTGTGATACATGATATTGGTTGGATGAAAAAGGGTGTATAACACAAGAGATTTCTCTCATCAAGTACATACATATATTTTAATATCACGTGATGATAAATAATTTAAATCTTAATTTATTTCTGAATTAATATATGACAAGTTAACTTGTTATTCAAATCATTTACATACAAAATCAATATAATTTTAGGTTTCTTGTAAAAGAATTAATCTAATTTATATATGTGAAATATTTTTTCTAAATAAATCTTAATCAACGTTATCAAACAAGCTTAACAAAATGAATATCGTATCAATCAGTTCTACTTAATCTAAACCATAACCATACCTATTTCCCAGAATGACTAGAAATACAAATGAAGAAATGTCTAAATATTTAATCTGATATTATATCATCTATAGACAATAACAATTATTATTATTCGTTTATATTTTGTTGATAAATCTTCAAAACTAAAAAGAAACAAAAAAAATGAGAGCAAATAGATTTATTTATTCTTTTTTTTTTTTTTGGATCTTCAATTTCGCTCGAGATGAAAGTAAATCACAGAAAATTAAAAAAAAGCTGATAATGGAAAATAGAAATCAATATTTCCTATACAAAAAAAAAAAGGAACGTTCAAATGTTATTCACACTTGACACGCGCAAGTATTCTTTTATTTCTGAATGAATCCGAGTGTAATTATCACTTTAGATGAATGTTAACCTACTATGTTTTAATACCTTATTCGTTGTCTTTTTTTCTCTAAACAAAAAACTTTTCCTTAAAAATGCATATCATATAGTTTTAGAAGTAAGTTGCATGGGAAGTTATCTTAATTTTCCCGTGATGATTGATTAATTATCAAAAAGAAAAAGAAAAAGAAAAATAATCATATAATCTTAGATTGTTTTTGTTTTTCATTGGTTGTTTTTTCTTATTGGTCATTTTAATGTTTCTCTCTCTTTAATAAAGATTTTTTTTTTTTTTTCTCATTATCGATCATCTTTCTTCTCTCACTCGATTAGCACCTGTTGCAGAGAAAGCGTGAACAGCATACCAATATTATAACTATGTTAACGCCACTTGGTACTAAAGAAAATAATAATAAAACTTCAACAAATTATTATTATACACAACAACAACATTATTATTGTCCAATATCAATTAATAATGATTCAAATAATCTTCAACATTATTCTCCATCAATTTATGAAACAAATCATTATTATACACAATCACAAGAATATTCACATCAACAAATTAATAATCATATTCATGAAGAAGATTCAAATAATCAAGTCTCATCTGCAGTTTATATACCAACTTATCATCGTCAACATTATTCACCTGAAGGACATGTTAATGAAATGTTATATTCACAAAAATCATCAAATAAATCAATAACATCAATGTATGATTATAATTTACCATCAATTCCACCTCATCCATCAAATTCAATAATTCATCAACATTCAAATTATGTTCAATCATCTGTTGAACAAACAAATTCTAGTACAAGCAATAGTATGGATTATCCAACACCTTGTGTAAGTTCGAATAAGTAAATAATTCATTATCACCTTGTTTCCTAACGAGAAACACAAGCAACAATTAATTTTTTACTTCACTATCATATCATCACACATTCAACCTTCTTGTTTCATATGCAAGCAAGTTGGTAATGAATCATATTCATGCACGATACCAGCAGCATCGCTTTCGAAAGAGTTCTTAGATTAAACACATTTTTAATTGATTTTATTTTAAGTTACCATTAGATGGAACATGTCGATCCGGTTCTATTATTGTTGAACTAGTCAATCGACCATTATGGTTAAAATTTGCTGAGCATACACTTGAAAATATTATTACAAAAAGTAAGTATATTAATTGAATTACTATAGTTTTTCAAACATTTTTATTAATTTCTAGTTGGTCGTCGAATGTTTCCAACTCTTGAATTTAAAGTCTATGGATTAAAACCTGAAGCAACATATGATATGTATGTTGATATGGTTTTAGTAGATGTTAATCATTGGAAATATAATTCTGGTCAATGGATACCATCGGGACAAGCTGAAGAATGTCAAAAAACAAGTAAGAATAAAATAGAAAAATTATTTAAAACTATTTCATGTTATAATTTAAGATCATCGTTATTTACATCCTGATTCACCAAATAGTGGACTTCATTGGATGAAACATGAGAAAATTTCATTTTCTAAATTAAAATTAACAAATAATAAACAATTATCCATAAGTCACTCACAAAATCAAGTATAAGAATATATTGTTTGGTTTTTTTCTTTTGTGCATTATAATTTTAGATGACAATTATTGTTAATTCAATGCATAAATATATGCCACGTTTGAATATTGTTGAAATTCATGATCATTCAATGGATCCAATATTATCATCAAATAAAAATAGTTCATCAACAAAATATACATTTACATTTCCTGAAACACAATTTATTGCTGTAACAGCTTATCAAAATACTGATGTAAGTTATTATTTGAATCAAATTTTGAATTAAAATTAATGAAAAAAAAAAAAAAAAAATTTCTATTAAAATAGATTACTCAATTAAAAATTGATTATAATCCATTTGCAAAAGGCTTTCGCAACAGTTCTGATGATCGGTATGTTTACTATTATTATTGTGTTTTAAATAATTGTATTTTGTGTTTTCTTTTATAAGAAATAATTACCATGGATATTCATATAGGTCTCCATCACCATCATATGATAATGAAAGTAATCTAGCAGTTGATTATTATAGAAATACATATGAAACTCAACAATCTTATAAAAAGAAACGACATAATTAAATATATATTGTTAATCTACTTGCATTCTTCATTGCCCCGTTTATATGTGTATGTTTCTTGTGTTTTTCTTTTCATTTCAAATTTCATATTCGAATAAACTATTTTCAAGAGAAATTAAATATTGGATTTTATGTGATGATTAATTTCAGATCTATATATCAGAGTTAGTAGATTGATATTAGGATATTTCGAATTTTTAGTACAAAGATTAATATGATAAAGATATGATTAATTGTTTCATCATAATGGTTTTTTATGCTTTACAATTGGCGATATATCATAGTAAACTGATCTTCTCAAGAGTAGAAGTATTTTGTTTGAAATTTCTTTTCTTCTGAATAGATTGATTGTACTACAAACTATAATGAGTTTAAAAAAAAATAGTTCACATTAAGTAATATATACGGATACACATTGTTTGTTGTTTTTAAAAAAGAGTAATAAATTTTTATTACTTTGTCTTTGTTCATTTATCAAGGTGAACAAAAAAAAACTGAAGTAAAAAACGAAAATTAGATAAAAATGTTTTTTCATATTGTGGTCAATTCATCTTGTTATTCTTAGACAGAGGAGTTGTATTTATGTTTCAGTATCTAATTTTGGTTATTAATTCTATTGTTCTTGTCCATTAGACTAATTGAATAAATGAGAATAAAACAGACATAAATTACTATGATGGGCCTATAAAATCTATGACAAGCTAGTAACTGATTCAGATATCATTCTTTTTACAAATATAATTGTTTTTTATGTCTTTCCTGTTATATTTAATTCGAGATGAAACAACAGAAAAAGAACTTTTCTTTTTTAATTTTTGTTCTTCAAAAACTATTCGAACAATTAAAGATTAGTCCAAAAGGAATGTATTCTGAGCGACACTGTCTTTCAAGAGGATTAACTAAGCTAATTATGGTTAACATTTTATATTTTAGTGCTCTCAACCGTCAAAGTCAAAATATCGACAGGTCTTCATTAATACTAATTATCTTTCTCTTTCCTCTTTTCGACATACCCACGCAGTAGAATTCCGTGCGATCAAGAGAAAAATTTTATGTTGAAATCTACACAAATCACCGTATGACAGAGTGTATGTAAAAATCAAAATATAACAAATAAACTTGTAGCACTAAATATAGCTTCAAGTCTGAATATATTCGTACTCTCATATAGTTAGCAGCAACTGTAATCATTTAGTGGCGTCACTTTTTGAGACAATTTAAACGGTTACTATTCTGAAATATGTGAATAGATAGTAGAGATTGAATCAAATCGATCTCATCTCTGATAGATACTTAAAATAAAAAAGAAATTTACAAAGTATAAATCATATGTGAAAATATTTTATTTGTTTTGTATACTTTAAGGTATAGAATTCTTCAGTATTTGATTGTTGTTCAGTTGGTATAATAATAATAAAATTTCAACAAAAGTTATTTACTGCTATTTTAATGAACAAGAGAAATTTTCACTTTTATGTTCAAGTGTGCATTGTATTTCTTGAAGAGCTATGTTCTATTTTCAGCTACTAGGCTTTACCTCTTCAAAAAAGTCGAAACATAATCGCAATGACTTTGTAAAGGTGAAGAAGAGGTCAAAGACGAAGTATGAACTGGTACATTTGTAGGGTGTGTGGGTCTTTTCAAGATTACTCGACACATCCACATCCTCTGATCGGTATTTAGATGCTTTTTACTGTTAAAAGAATATTTATTTCTATTTTAAAGATAGAAAAAAAAATGTTCGGCAAATGAATATATTTTTCTTCATAAAATATATGTTTAAGATAAAATAAATCTTCCATAAGATTATCATTTGAAGAAAGCAAATAATTTGTTTTTTTCTTTATTCTGTGGTGCTTTCAGGTTTTTTCTCATAAATACATGAAGCGAAACGAGATGCTTTTTCAGATTTAATGAAATCTAAATCAATATCATTGAACTCATTCCTTCGAACATTGTCATTTCTAAGTCCAGTTACATGTTGAATCAGAAGTGAATAGATAACATCTTTCAATGGACCAGCATAATAATATTCACATTCTATCCAAGTACCATCTTTCTCTTTAATTAACCATAGATCTTCATTTGAAATAGGATCTAATATAAGATCATTCAATATAGTTTGCACTTGCTGAGATGGAATAAGAGATAATTGAAAAAGATGAAGAAATATTTTAACTGTAATATATCGAACATTCATTGATTCTGATTTCAAATAAGATAACAAAAGATTTAAAACGACGTTTTCATCTTTAATTGTATGAATGCGTGTTATACATTTAAAACCATTGCTTTGAACATTTGGATCATCATATACAGTTGCAATGAACATTTCACATAGGTCGACTGTTAATTCTCCCAACACAGATAGAATTGTTAAACAAGCAGCACGTTGTGGAAAATTATGTTGCTTACTCGTATAAAATAATGCACGTTTTAGATTATTTGCATCACGCGAATCTTTAATAAAAGCACAAAATACTGTCAGCATACGTACAGCAATTAAACTAGCGATATTCACATATTGAGGATATCCAAAAGCTAAATCAAAATTTGTATCTAACACCGGTGATATTTTATCACTATACTTGCATATCTGATTGTATAATTCGACCATAAAAATTGACAAAAGAGTTGGATGTTCTTCAATTAACTGTACGACAGCATTTTCACTATTTTGGTGAACATCGTAAAGATAATAAGATGCTGTTGATTCAACTAATGCATGATAACACTGTGTATAATCATGACTAAGCATGCCAAGTAGAAATGATGTATCTTGAAGAACACGGCCAAATCCTGTACGAGCAGCCTCTGCAATTTTCTTCGAGTTATGGCGTAACAAAATGGAAAATAAATCCAAATCATCTTGGTCAAATGCGACATGTTTTACAGATACACAATAGGAATAACTTGAAATTAGTGCATTCAATACATTAGTAGAATAAGTAGAAGTCTCATCAACTACGCTGTTCAATACCACTATAATTTTTTCATATATAATTTTATATGTTTGTTCATTACATACATAGCCAAGAGCACACGCTACTGCTTGACGAATTTCATTGTCGTAGGATACGTCGAATAAGTTCATTAGAGCAGTAATTGCTATTTCTCGTGTTTCTTCAGTGTTATTCAATAATTTGTGTAAACTTAGCAGTATTGAAACAACAAAATGCGTATGACTTTCTGAAACTGTATTTGATGTTGTATCTCCATCGATCTCCCGGAATGAAACGAAATTTGATGTAATCATATCACACATATATGTTATCAAATCACCAGACAGTCGAAACGAATTAACATAGGAACAAGCACCTATTGCTACATCAGTTGAAAAAAATGCAGTTACATAAGAATTTTTCGACGATCTTAAATTATTGTAAGAATACTGTTTATTTGTCAATGCATGTATTCTGTATCTTTCTAGCCAAAGTAATGTTTCGAGATGAGATTGAACATCTAGATTTATATGTCCAAGCAATTGAGTTAATGTAAGCTTGGCAGATGCTGAAGTTAATTGATAATGAACTCTTTTCTGAAGTAAAGTTAATATAACGTTGATACTCAGTTTTGAACTAGTTAGAATATCATCTTGACTTGATGATCGGCATAGAATTTCAGTTCTGTGACGAAAACGATCATTATTACTGCATAAAAGATCACATACAATTGTTGTAGCTTCGACAGACCATATATCAGAATTAATTAGAAGAAGTGCGGCATGAAAAGCAAAACAAGAGAGTTCATTTGAATCTTTCCATTTCAACCAAGATTCTAACAGATGACATGCTTTTAATTCAATCCAATTCATACGATGAAGAGCATTATTTAAAATAATTTGGAGCTTCTTGAACTGTTCAGATTGGTTTGTTAACGAAGTGAAAGAAATAATATTAGTTAGTGTTATTGCTTGTGTTTCTGTTAGAATACTATTTTCAAATTGAAATAAGTTTGTTTCAATTGATTCATCAATACTAAATTGACGATTATCCGTTTTAATAATTGCATGAAAATCATTAGCTAATTCCACAAGATACAAGTTCGCCATAGATAATGAAAATGATAAATTTTCATGTACACTAATATTAAAATATGTTTTTAAAGTAGAAGATTTATTATGTACTGTTCTATTTTGGTCTTGTAAACTATATGAGGAACGATTCGTAATTGATGAAAAAGCACAATTCAATTGTATGTATGGTAATAAGGCTTCAATGACTGCTTGTTGATTTCGTTGATCGGTATCGTCAAATTTATTAATGAGATTTTCAAGACAATTATCAATCGTTTGTGAGTGTTGAATTAAAGGTAAACATCGAATGAAAATAACTGTATGTAATAGAAGAGGTAAATTTGGATAAATTTCATTGAACTGATGTTCAATTTCCATTTTCAGAGATCTATCTTTATTTACTTTAATTTGATCATAGTCGGAATGTGAATAAAAAGCAATCAGACATAATGCATCAAGACGTGCAAGTTTATTCTGTATTGACATAGCTCCATTTATACTTTGTTCTAATAAAAATAATTTTCTTTTATCGTCAGTCCAGCAACAAAGACGTGCCAAAGTGACTGATGCAGAATAAAGTTTTATATTTCTTTGATCATTTTCAATTGAAGCTTGTTGAAGTCTTTGATATTCTTGTTCAATATTATCATGGATTATTGTTTTACGTTCTTCTTCTGTTAGATAAGATCCTTGAAAAGAATTGTTATCTATATCCGTATATTGGCCAGTTTCATGATTCATGGAACGTTTTCTTTTTGTTTCATAAGTGTCCAAAACATCAGAATATTTTAAAGCTAATGCCCATAATAGACTACTGCCAAAGTTTTCTAATTGATACGTTCGAAGCCAAGGTAACAGAGTAATTGAAGCTGCTAGAATACACAGTCTCTTACATGATGCATTTGACAAAAATATTAAACATTCAGTTAAAATGTGACTAAAATAAAGATGTTCTTCTCTATTGACTATATAATCTTTTGGATTGATCGTAATAAAATTTTCTTTCAATAATCGAACAAAAAGATTTCGTAAATGTGAAGGAACAAATGTTAATGGAATTAAAATATCTTCATCATGGCGAAAGAGTAAATATTCTGGTATTTCATCCAAAGCAACTGCTATTCTATATTGTGTGTCGAAGTCATCATTGTGTTCTAATGGCCAGAAAAGTTTAGTGAAATGATTAATTAATGAGCAAGATTTTCGATCAGAATTAAATTGTACATCAGTCGTTAGGAGACAATTAAGAAACGGATTCTCTTTTCGTAGAGAATTAGGTAGACGTAATGTTATTCGTCTATAAGGTTTTGATGTTCCTTCTAAAAGAATTGACGTTGAAGAAGATCGTAAACGAGCTACACTACTTCTTAATGAATTTAACAAATCCATAAAATGAATTCTTGCTGATTCAACATATTGAAATTTTTCCATACAAATCGAAATAAATTTTGTTGCTTCATTTTCCATGAATTGATCGTCGTCGTCAGCGGTAAAATAGAATTGACGTAAAATCATTGAAATATATTTTAATCTATTTATACACATACGTAAAAAAGAACTGGAGATCATTTTCAAATTTTCTTGTATGTACTCAATGTTATAAAAGCATATAGTTGCAATACACAAATCAACTGCTTCAGAGGATTCATCATGATTTTCTATTCGCATCACAAAAGATTTTATACATTCCTGTCTTAATTTTTTAAAATTTTGATCTTGTTTATTACGATCATTTTCAGACAGAAAACGTATTAATATTGGTGTTAATGAAGTTGATTCTCGATGAATATAAGAAGCATTGAAGATAACAGTTTGACCAGTTCGTGTTAAGCCACCATATAAAGCAATGATTAATGGCAGGAGAATCACAGGAATTGAATTTATTTCAATATGTTTATCGATTAGGAAGCCTTTGAAAGTATTTGAATTAGATGATAATAACTGATGATTTGAGAATGTAATTTTAATTAATAGTCGATTAATAGAAAATCCATTATTTTCATTATCAAGCGTTGATAAAGATTGAAGCATTGAACAAGATGATTGATCTAACCAATGAATATTTTCATATTCATGAGGTTTTCCTTCGATGAGATGACAAAGAGCTGTTATTGTTTCAATATCATGTCGAGAAGATTGTGATAGTAATTTGTTAATCCATAGTGAAACAATACTATGTGGAAATTTTTTCAATGTCTTTGTAATTTCATCGAGTAGAAACGGACAAACAATTGACCATTTATGTTGACCAGCTGCAATTATTAAACGATCTAAAGCATTGAACAAAATATCATTTGAAGGATAATTAACAAAATCATTGACACAATTAATTAATATATAAGCACCAAGTGGTAATAGAGAATCATGCTTGTCTGATTTTTGCATAAATTCGTAGCAAAGATCATTAAAATCATTTTGGGACCAAGATGAACTAATTTTTCCGAAAGCAAGTGCAATTGGTGCTCGAAATTGTAGATCATTGATATGATGACACAACATTTGAGTGATAAGTTGAATTTTGTTGTTTTGATCCAATCCATCACTAGTAAATCTCCTTTGTCTTAACGTATCTACCTCGATGAGTTTCAAGCAAGTGAAGTATTCTTGAAATGGTAAATGAAGAAAACCATAGAATGATTCATCTCGTGGAACTAAAATACCAATATTGTCACGAATAAGTTGTGCCATTTCAGATGCTTGTCTTTCAATATCATCAATATCATCAGTCGTTAGTAAGGTTTTTTTTATGGAAGTTTGGATCGTTTGAACACAAATTTCTTGTATTTTTTGATTGTCAATCAAATTTGATGTTGGATTTTGATGAATACAATAAGCAATGTCAGTCAGAATTCGAATCACTTTGGATATGTCAATAGTTGGTCTTTTACTATACCACAAATTTAACATTGAGGTGACAATTAATTCATAGAGAAGAATACGTTGTGTAGGTAAAGATGAACCATTTAATTGACCAAAACATATAGTACAAATAGATGATAGTAAACCAGAATTCGAAGCCATGTCAAGAAGATCAACATTTTCTGTTTTTTCAAATTCTTTTTTCAGTGCTTCACTATGATTTTCACCTTGATTAACTAATGGAAGACTTAACATATCAATTATACTTTGATGAAGACGAAAAAACCAATGATCAACAAAATTTTTTATATGTTCCTTATTCATAGGTCGAATTGTGTAATGGGCAAATTGGCCATTTAATGGAGCAGTATAATAATTGACTACACGACTTGTAACAATCAATTGATTACCTCCTAATCTTGATGGATCATCGAATAACTTGTTTAAATATACATTGTCAAAAGCAGAAATATTTGTGGGTGTCTGAACATACGTATCAACAAAGTTTTCAATAATATTCATAATTTTTGAACGTTGAACAGAAACAGGAATTTCATCAAGACCATCAAGTATGATTAGAGCTTGACCTTGTTTAATATAATCTTGAAGAGTCCATGATACAATATCAGAAGAGATCGATGAATCATCAACGATTGATTTTCCCATCCATTTATGTTTTCCAATAAAATCAAATAATGTCAATGATGGTTGAACTTTCAAAATTTCAGCATATTCGGCAATACGAATCAAAATTGGTATACGAAGAGGACCATAATCAGTTGAATCTGATTCATTGGCAAGAAGTGTTTGAGCCAGATGATGAACAAGCCATCGAACAAAACTTGTTTTACCACTTTTTGGATCACCCAAAATAATAATCCAACGTTTGGATCGTATCATATTTTCTCCAGTGATATCGTCTTCTTCTGAATGGTGATCTTTTTCAACTGACGACATCATGTAGGGAGTTGATACTAGTCGTTTCCATATTTCTTTAGATCTTGCTGTTCTACTTTGTGCATCCGATAACATACTGGCTTCATTTTCTATAAGCAATCGCCGTAATTTATTTCTTTCGAATGACGTAGATTTATCAGCTACAAATTGGATGAATGTACGTGTGAGAGGAAGTTTACATGATCGCCATTTATGTTCTAACATCATTCGTTCTTTATAAGAGATTTGATAGGTATTATGAATAATTTTAGCAACAATATCGCCCGTAAGACCAGTAGGAGATTCAACTTTATGTAGTTCAATACAAGTGCGAAGATAGGATTCAATCGTTTTGGAATATTTTTCACGTAAGTTATGAAGTTGTTCTGCAATGGTTTTTTTAGTACATTGTTCAATAGCTTCTAATCTTTGCTTCATCGTCTCGTCAAAAGATTTTTGAATAAGAACTTGTTGTTCCTGACAAGCGTTGCTAAGTATTTGAACTCTCGTTTCATAGTCACCTGTTAGATCAGCTTCGTGTTGAGCTAGTCGAAGTTGAAGACGAAACAGTACAGATTCAAGATCTCGATAAGTCATTCCATTAAGATAATTTTCATTTTCACTACAACTAGTAACAACTTCATCGATAGCTTTTAGTATTTGTGCAAATTCTTCTTCTGAATCATTTTCATCTAATGGTGTAACAATGTCATTGAATCCATGGCGAAAACGAGCTAAACTAGTGGTTATCAATTTCAAATGATCTTGACACACTTTCGCTTCATTCGCTCGTTGTATTAAATTATCGATTGTTGTTGATATTGACTCAATGGATGTCATTTAAATTTACTCAAGTAGTTTTTCTTCTACAAACAAACAGAAAACTATGAGCAAAAGCTAAAATACTTAATATAATAGTATGATGCATCATGTTTAAATATTGAGTATTGATATTTTCTTCAATTTTTATTCAAAATAAAAATTTGTCTCCGATAAAGTACGATTCTGTTTGATTGAAGAAGAATCTTTCGTGGAGAAGCAATAAGAGAAGTTACTAACAGAGCGAATATAAAAAACTAATTATGAAAATCAATACGAATCAAGAATAACGTTTAATCAACACTGAAATTGATGATCTTACACATCCCATAACATGATTTACAAATTTTGGCTCACTACGATAATGTGATTTCATATTTGTCATTAAACTCAAAGAAAGTCTTTAAAAACTGTTATATATAACGATTCTATCACTGAAAAACCAAGGAAAGAAAAATCTGTTAATAGCAGCATTATTTTAAATATATACGATAGTTTGTGCTTCATACAACTAAAACAACAACGAATGGTTAACTGTCTGCATAATAAACATCATTGATTTTATATTCGTATGAAGAATAAATCTTATTCGAAAAAAGAATTGCATTCTTTTTTTTTTTTCATTCTGTTATAGTGTAAAGAATGATGAAGAGATTTTTTGTTGTAAATATCATAGCTCACCATTTTGAAAGCACATTTTCTTTCAAAGAAAAATTCGAAGGCAACTTTTAAGAATATGTATTGTTTAGAATACAGTAAGCAAATTGCAAAAGATTGTTTTGTTAAATATTCAAAAGAATTTTTCCAGATCAAAAGCTGTTTTTTTTCAACAATCAAGATTGGTGAGATAAGCATTTATAAAAGAAATCAAAAATATATAATTGTCTTTTTCAAAATCATCGAGAAAGTTTGTATATCAAATAAATATGTAATAAATTGGTTAAAAAATTTTAAAGATTATACTAATCAAAAGTAACTGATTCAGTTAGACAACAAAGATTGTCATCGTATCATATCTTGAAAACACAAATCTTGAAATCTGTAGAACTTTTATTGAAAAACTCGGTTTTTTATAGTTTCGTATGACCAACTTTAGATGTCACTAGAGGATTGAAAAGAGCATCATAGTTACATTGAATGAATCGTTTTCATTTAGTGAAAAGTTTTTTTTTCTATTGGCTTTCATCCAATGATGACTCTAAACAAGCAAGAACGAGGCAGGAGTATTTTGTTTTTACTTACAAAGAGAGAATATCTTTCTTCCAACATAATGCGAAAAACATTTTCAATTCTGTTGGAAAGAAATAAAAATTTTCCAAGTTTGATGAGTGTCGCAAGCCTACATCTTCACCTTTTTTAGACCACTACTGTTTTGGATGAATTTTTCTTTTGTACTACAATTAGTTAGTTTTATTCTCAGCGCTTTTTATGTTTAACTTCGAGTTTCTAACGCTGACAACAAATCGTCGATCTTTTGTACAAAGCTGATTTGAGAGAGTCCCAAAGTAAGGTACCAAAAGCTTTAAAAAGAAAAATGTTCGTTTTTTTTTAACCTTATATTTTTGTCTAAAGCTTGTGTTACAAAACTAGAAAATTACCTAGTTGTTTCATGAAAACTCTACGAATTTTGAGATGTAAGTTTTCAAGATCGTAAGATTCTTGATCGGAAAGAAGCCCGCACGTATTTGACCCTCATTAATTATTGAAGGCTAAACGATAAATGAGCTAGGAATTTTGCTGCACTCAAGAATATGAGATGTTCATATCAAATACTTATCGTATCTTGTCTTTCTAATCTATGAATAATGTTTATCAATATAGTTGTTAATATATTTTCTTTTTTAAAGAAATAATAATAATAATAAAAACATCAGAAAGAATGAGAAAACCAATTGATAAAGAGAGTAGAAATTTGATATGAGCTTCATAAATTGAGATTTATCCACACTAACAAAGATACTGTTAAGTTACGATCTGTTTTCTAAGCGAATCGGTCATACTCTTCCCTATTGAATGGCATTATCTTTAATAACAAAGCACGATTAATAGGAATCGATCTTACTTATTCTTGGTTTTTGTTTCAAAACATTTTCTATGATATAAATGATTGCTTCACATCTCTTTTCATCACTTACTTTTTTTTAGTATTGAAATTATTGACGTCCTCCAAGCTTTGTTGGACAAAAAGAACAGCAATCAGGAAAGTTTTATTCGAAAAACAGATTGTATTCGAATAGTCTATATCTAAAAAAAACAACATAAAATTTATGTTCTCTAGTTTGGTAATCTTTCATTGACATTCTGTGGTTTAACTCTGAAAATTAGATGTGTTTTTGGACATATTATATATACTGATTACCTTATTTCTGCTCTGTCAATGTTTCGAATTGTATTGCTTTTTTTCTGCATATTTATAATCAAAGCAAAAAGAATTCAAAGTATTGTGTGTGTGATGCATGATCAATATTTACTTTTAGTTTATTGTTTCTTACGAAGTTGGAAAAAACCTTCATGATTTGTTTTGTGTTAATGTCGTAAACCAGATAACATGTAGTATTATTTCATCGCATAGAGATGTAATAAAATAGTGAAAATGCGAACCGAAACGATGAGCCTAGATACTGGAGCACGAGAATGATATACAACGGAAAGTTAACCAGGCAAAAAGAACTATGTTACTATGAAATCTATTAAATAAAATACTAATATTAATAAAATTAATTAAAATGAAATATTGTCTGTAATTGAATCTATTTGAGTTAAAGCATCTGAATGAAATGTTAGAATAAGATTTAATAAACAGAAAATCAGAATAAATCACGAAATAATATCATGACTTGATGTGTGTTTGCTCTGATAATGATCTCATTGAATTATATATTATCATTTTTGAAAATTTGTAGAAAACATTAAGCAAAACAAGAATTCAATTTAACGATTATATTTTACTTAGAAAAATATTAGAATTTGTAATAAATTAATACTTTGGTGAAAATCAAATGATTCAAATTTGAGCATTTTGCTTGTGTTTCACAGAATTCTTATTATTGTTTCGCTATTTCGATGTTAAGTATTCTTGCATTTTGAAAGCATAAATAATTTAAAAGCTATCTAGAATGTGCAACAACATGATTTTGAGTATCTAAATGTCTGAAATTTTGCATTGGATCCTTCTTGGACTTTAATTCGTTCCATTTTTCTTTCGATATGGTATCGATACAAGATTTCAGTTGTTGAATTCTTATTTCCACAATATATCAAATGATAAGTTCAACTTTTTAGTTATCTGTTTGCCAATAATATTACAATATGTCACAAAATTTATGATACTGTTTATGTTAGAATATATATGCTTTTGTAACAGTCAAGCATAAAACAAGAGTAATATGTTATTTCTAAAAGATATTTGTCATGGCTTTCGATAAACTCAGATATCGCCAAGAATGAGAGAAATTTTTCTGTAGTTTCCACTGAAGTGATTTAATTCGATATTGTGATATCGAACGAAAATTGCCTTTATCAAAAATTAGAAGGAACTAATGAGGAGCTTTTCCCTAATTAACTTAAGTAAGATTTTCAACACTTCACATTGTTGATATCTACAATTCTTTTTATATGTGACTAAAGTTAATAGTCGATATGAGTTGTTTTTTGCGCAAAGATTCGTCTGAATAACTGAGGACAAAAACGAATATATTTAGAGTATGGCTGTGTTTACTTTCAAGAAACGATCCAAGCTCACACCTACGCTCTTATCCAAACTCTTAAAGATAAGATGCATATCCTCACAACTAAAACACAGATCTAGAAAATAAAAACAAATAGGGATTTCAAATATGATGGGAATTCTGGCAACCTCTAGGATCCGACAGGAATTCCGACAATCACGTCGTAAACCTAGAAATCGCAGGAGTATGAAATTTACCAGTTTCTTCCTAGTGAATCACAGTCCATAGTATACTTTCAAAATAAAAGTGGTCAATACCAAAAAGAAATTGATTAAAGAAGGAATATTGTATTTCTTCAAGCGTGTTATGGATAGCGGAAACTGACTGAGACGCTGCACTACTTAGTATGACTTCTCCATTATTGTAGACCTTGACAATGTGTATCTCTTTCTCTTTTCTTATGCAACCACTATTGAATAGTGTTTTCGTAATAATACAGACGCAGTGAAATGATGAAGTATCTCATTAAACATTCTTATTGATGACGATAACACTGCATTCATTAACCTATCATTTTATATTCAACATTGAATAAAAAATAAAATTCGGGAAAATAGCAATCAGTCGTCAAATCACTGTTGCCGTTCTACTATTATAAATGATTTATATGTGAGACGAATCTAGTTGTTGATTTCGTTGCCTGTTCTTTTGTCTTTTATATGCATGAGACAAGGAGTTTTCTTTGTCACATGAACCAATTATGATAACAGAACGGCAACAATGACTCGATGGGTTCGTGAATAAAATGGGTATTCCTTCTAACTTTAATTAGACATTATCACTTCGTTAGTTAAGAAGAATTTCATTTTTAATATTCTGTTTCTGATGTTTCTTTCAGATCAGATTGAATTTTTAACCAGAAATGTTTATTACATGAAACGAAAACTACGCTTCAATCATTCTCGGAACAAGGGAACAAAGAGGTTACAATATAAAGTTGATCAAAAAACATAAGTTATAAAAACCAATCTTCTCTTAGTGTTTAATTTTCATATAGAATACCAATAACGTCTATTGAAAATGTATCCATTGAATTATTCTATGAAATATTTGATTATTTTGATGGCTGTCAAATCTATCAAGCATTCTCAAATCTTAATTGCAGCTAATTAATTCTTCATCTCTTTTATTTAAAATTACAATTGCTTTACCATCTCATGAATTATATACGAATATTTGTAGGCAACTTACACTCATAAATAAGCATCAAATAGTTTCGTTTTATTTATGGCTACCATTACAAGACAGTAAATTTTTCTGCTGGTATTCTATCGATTCGTCATTTAATAAAAAAGTGATATCATAATCCCGTTACACCGGGTATCCACCGCGAAACAGTAATTACCTCAAGGCTAATGATATCACTCTGTGACATGGAAACTATATACTTTTTAAAGCTGAGCGTTTTGAGTGGTTTTGGTGTATTACCCCGGGGTAATGATGTCGTTACACCAAATCCACTCAAAACGCTCAACTTGTACGATATATAGTTTATGTAAGGAGTATTGAAGTCATTACTCCTCTTCGTAAATTATAGATCGGGAAAGTGAATACACTTGATTACTCTGCGGGTATTTTGACGGTTGGCTCTCGATACCCATTGTAATGGTATTATGACATCTATGAGAAAAGTATATGTCTAGTCTTTTTTTGTGATCTCATGCGCTTCTTTTATAGATCCGTTTGTTATTATTTTTTGTATGAACTTGTTTAATGAAAAGTTTTATTGCTTCACGAAGAAAATTTCGATAGTAAAAAAACGAGCTGCGATGTTCTTTGATATATTCATATAGCTACTCGAAAACATATGTTGAAATGATTACGAAAATAAACAAGAACAATCCATGATTTATCAGTGATGTTCTATATGGACAGGCAAAGAAAAAGAAACTTTGTGAAGAAAGAATAACTAATAAACATATATACATTTTATCTTTTTCTTTTTTGTAGATCACAAGTTTTATTTTCATTTAACATGTCGATAACTTCGATCGAAAATTTCTCTAATGAAGTTTTTAACGAGATTTTCGAATATCTCGATGGTTGTGAAATATATAAAGCATTTTCAAATCTTAATTATCGTTTTCAACAACTTCTTTATTCTTCATCTCTTCTTTACAAAATTAATTTACATCGTACAACATCTAACGAATTATATCTAAATATTTATAAACAACTTCTACTTAATCACAAACACCAAATACTTGCATTTCATATATGGTCACCATTACAAAAAAGTGAATTTTTTTCATCATTTTCAATCGACGCATCATTTAATCGTCTTGAATCCATTGTGATTAATGAACTTCCATCAGCTATACTAATTTCACTTCTTACTAATTTATCTTCTTTACCTCGTCTTTTCTCATTAACCATCGATGCACGATGGGCGTTAAGAGATTTGAGTGAAGTTTATCGATTAATTTTTACTTTATCAAAATTGAAATATATTAAATGTTCAGCAGAATCAACCACTATATCTAATTCATTGCCAATTGCTACCAATGAACAATTCAGTACTATTGAATATTTTATTATTAATCATGATTGTGGTTTTAATGAACTTTGTACTTTAATATCTTATACACCTCAACTTTGTCATTTAAATTTGATGAATTTATCTAAAAGTCATTCAAACAATGAAATTATATTGCCAGTCAGTTTTTCTAATTTGACATATCTTTCAATAGAAATGGCTTATATAACATTTGATGAATTAGAAATGTTCATTATAGAAACGGAATGTAATTTGAAAGTTTTACGTATTATTACATTTTTTGCGGATCAAAATTATCTTGATGGTGATCGATGGGAAGAATTAATTTCAAATTATTTGCTTGAATTAGAAGAATTTTATTTAGAATATTATCAAGATATTGATCCTGAATCTGGATCTTTAACAGATTTTGAACCTCCTAATCAATTTAATTCATCATTTTGGATTGAACGAAAATGGGTACTCGAAGTTGAAATGGATTCCTTTGCTTATATTTATTCAATTCGTTCATATAAGTACATTGAAAAGAAATCCTTTTGTAATATATAGATATACGTATTTGTTTTTTGACTTCTAGAGAAAGATGGTATGATGTCAATTCTTCTATTGAACTCTCAAATTCTACTCGACTTATACTTACGGATCTTCCTCATGATGAATATATAATGATATTGAATTTAATTATTCGTGATCTTTTAGCAATGACACAGATTTATCATTTAGAAATTTCTAAAAAAACCATCTATTCTGATATATTAATCGAAATAATATATAAATTATCTGCACTTGATACATTAAAAATTACTTCTTTGATATTATCACAATCTAAATGTTTATTTATTGAAAATAAGAATCTTCGTCTTGTATCAAATAAAAATAATATTAAAAAAGTTTATTTAGAAAAAATGTTGACAATGGAAGAAGTTTATTTTCTTATTAGACTTTGTCCTCGTATGACATATCTCAAAATAGATTTTATAAATGATATGAATATTGAATTATTCGTTAAAGATATTCTAAAGAAAATTCATAATGATTGTAATCAATATCTTCGTTCATTATGTATTCATAATCCAACAGCAGATGATGATATCATTCAAAAATTAGAAGAAATGATTAATCGTGAGAAATTACTTCATCATTTTACAATAAAATGTATAGCTGACAATATCTATTTGCAATGGAAATAATTGACTACATTGACTATTGTCTTTACTTTTGCATTGAAGTTTGAAATAAAAAAAAACAAGTTAAAGTTCATTTATTTAGAAGATTCAATTTTTACTTATTTTTTTATCGATATAGATTAGAAAGAAATGATTGTTTGACCTAGCATATTCTTAGAAAAAAAGCAAGAATGAATAGAAGATGATCTTACGTTTTTTAATACAAAAGTAGTTAAGTACCAGCGAGATACTTAAATTTTGATTCTTGTCTTTTTCGTGATACTGCTTTTTCAATTTCTCTTAGAAATTCAGGTCTACCTGTTGAAATACGATGAAGAATGCCCTAGAACTATCAAAACCAATATTTTCCCATCTTTTTCTAGTGTTACGAAAATTTGAGTCGCTCGAATTACTCGATTCCTTGCTTTTCACTACATATATGACAGTGAGATTGGAAGTGCTACGAGTGATCCGAAAGTTATATTTCATCTTATCTCATTCTTACCTATTGAATATACATACAGAACGGAAAGATACTTAAGACACATATGATAAGCATATTCTCCGCTGTTTCTATCTTGCTGGTCTTTTGTAATGATAAATATCCTACTTACCAAACTCCACTAAATGAAATGAACAACGATAAATATCAGCATGCGTTGTCGGATGATGACCTACTGAGAGTCGAAATCAATTTATTTAGCACAAGTGAATAAATATTGCGACAGAGTTTATTTGAGTTAGGGTTTGGATTTTGGGTGTAAGTTTTCTCTTTAACCACAACACACATCGAACTCATCAGAAGCGAACCGTACTCCACTCGACGCATAATCCACACTTTGTGCTACAAGAAAATATTTAATCAATTGTCTATCAAGATCATTGGATGTTTATACACAGGAAGAAACGATTATTAGAATAATAAAGAAGATATTGTATCATAATGATTTAAACTATAAGATAGCATTCTGATACCTTTTTATCCGATTATACTTTTTCAAGGCCAACATGACTAAAACTGACCATCCATATAATAATTCGTGACGAGTGTAACAATTATTCATAGTTAGATTGAATAAGTTTGTTTATTTTGATAAGTGAATGAATATTTCTACAAAGTATATTAATACAGAACAATCTATTGCTCATTTCCACTGTCGTATTAAATGAACAAAAAGTATGTAATTTACATAAATAAAATGGCATATTTAAAGTAAATCTGTTTTCTTCTTTTCTTAGTCTATACTTATTCACATTTTATTGTATTAATAAAAGCATCCAAACAATAAATAACAAATAAAAAGCACTATTATTCTTAACACTTGCATTAAAAGTTTTTGATTTTGGTAATGTCTGTATAGATGTTAATGTTAATTTTTGACGTCTTGGTGTAAATTGTTGAATAGGAACAAAACTAACTTTTTGTTGTGTACGTAATTTTGTTGCTTTTGTTGTATTGACAAATTCTTGTTTATTATATTTATTTGATGAAAAAAGAATATCATGAACACGTCGTATAAATGGAAATTGTCCTTGACCACAAAATAAACCTGTATAATCATCTTGATCAAGAGACCATACCATTACTCCACCTAAATCTAATGTTTTAGCATACAATACCTTAATAAGAAGCAAAACAAATGTTTTAATTACTAGAATTTTATGACAAAAAAAAAATTCTCATTACTTTGACAGTGATGCTTTGTAAATCATCATAACCAACCCATTGTCTATCCAAGGAATTTAAAGACGAAGAACTATAAGCATAGGGTGCTTGAGCATCTGTATCAAAAACTCTTGTCCAATTGAATCCTCGTAATTTTTGACAAATCTATCAAAATAATTTATTTCAATATCGTTACTAGATAAACAAATGTATTACTTCAAAATATGCTAAAGTACCATTTTCTTTCGTATATGGTCCAGCTATCATACAAAAAAAAAATAAACAAAGTTTTCAATTATTATAAATCAAATTAAGAGAAGCGCCGTTGATCGAATGATTATTCGTCGAAAAATACTTATATTAGTTGTTACTATTTATTATTTTACACTCCGTATATACAAACCGTGAAAGAAGAAGATGTTACTATTTTAGTATTTTTCGACAAAATATCTTTCGATCAACGACGTCCTACTCAAAAATCATTCGCATATACCTAAACCACCTCCAATTGTTTCTGTGCCAACAGAAATTGAATTTGAATCATTTGTTAATGTAAAACTTCGACCATACATAGCTAAACCTAAATTAAGTTTATTTGCTGAACAACCTTTAGACAACCAATAATGAATTGAAGTATTCTAAAGAACATTTTATAAGATTTAATTGAATTTTATTCTTTTTTACTTACGACATTTTTCCATCGTCCATCATCACTATCATCTTCTTCTAATGAATTTTTTCCATAAAGTGGTGCATTGATTCCAGTGACATTATCCCAAGCTCCATGATAATCATATGTCATAACACTAACATAATCAAGATAACTAAAGACACAAAACAATTTTTAAATAACAAAAACTAATTTCATAGTACTCACTGACAAAAATCAGATACAACATAACCTTGATCAACTTTTGTTGGATCAGCACTAACAGCAGCTGTTAAAAGAAATGGATTACTATCATTATGAAATGATTCATGAATTTCCTGACAAAAACAAAAATCAATAATTTAACTAAAAAAAAAAAAAAGAAACAAACAAATAATCAATTATTTACTTTGATAAGAATATTAAATTGTTCTCGAGAATTATTCATAGCACCTCGTTCAATATCACCAGGAAATTCCCAATCCTATTACAAAAACAAAAAATATCGACTAAGAAATTTTATTAACTAGTTCTAAATTTAGAGATGTTTATGACAATGCAAAATCTGCCGCACCACAATATACATCTCTATTGAATATTTATACCAAATCAATTCCATCAAAATTCCATTGATGTAAAAATTCTTTTGTTTGTCGAATAAATATTGTTCGAGTTGTAGAATTAGTTAAAATATTATTAAATGCTTCACTACCAGCTGTCCATCCTCCAACAGCTACTAATAATTTTAATGATGATTTATGTTGTTTTAATTCATGCATTCTCAAATATAATGGCTAAATCATATAAAAAAATAATTATTCAAACTAGCACAATAAAATCGATAGATTTCAATTTACTTTATCAAATGCATCTGTATAATGTGTATCATGTTTTTCACTTGGTTCAATTTTAAGTGTTGTTGGATTAATTAATGCAAAAGCTATATGTATATGTGTACAAAGTGATGAATCAATTGTGTCAGGATATAATATAGGTATATTTGTTACACGATAAAGTGACCAATTTGGATAATAACAAACAATTCTCATTTCTAATTATAAAAAAAAAAAACAAGCAAATAATTAATTGAATATTTCAAGATTTTTTTTTCTATTATTTATTTACCAGTTGAAACATATGATAACATTACAAAGACAAAGAACAATTGAAGTCTACACAAATACATGTTGATGAATAAAATGAACATAAGAGTAGGATACTTTTATTGAAGATAGTTAAAAAGAAAAGAAAAAGAAGGAGGAAGCAAATCTATTGTTTGTTCAGAATAAAAACTAATAATAAAAAAGAAGGATTAACGTTTTTGACCTCATTGAGTTTGTGCATGTATTTATCGAGTTGAAGGCTCGATTTACATTCTTTTCACACATTGAACATCCTTTTCATTGTATTATATCACCTGCTTGTCAAATTCACAATAGACAAAAATTTTTAATTAAAACATAGATCAAATATCAACTAAAACAAAATAGTAACTATTAAAAAAAAAGATATTTAAATCTAATTTTTAACATTTAATTGTTTCTTTTAATTTTACTGTATAATTAATATTTATAGTAAAATTTCTAATTGTATTTTTTTTTTCTATAGAATAAGTTTGTTTTAATTGATAATAATTATTATAAAATTAAATAGAATTGATGATTTTTAAAATAATTATATTATGTTTTTGAATTCATTTAATATCATATTTATTGAATTATTATTCATAAGTATTTCTTTAATTGAGTTGAAATACACCAAAAGCATTAAGTACATCTATCGAAATTTTCTTTTTGTTTTTTTTTTATTTATCAGATGGTGAGAGAAAAAATTACATATGGTTTTTGAAAAATATTGTTTTATTTTGAAGAAAAACGAGTTTTTCAATATGATAGTATACGAGCTCGTATTCAGAGTCAGCATAAAGATTTCTCTGTTGATTTCACATATGATATTTCTTCTTTTTTGGAACTGAAGTTTTAATAGTAAAAGTTTCTTGATACAAATCCGTATTTATGGCATATTACTATGAGAGACTAAAGACTTTCCGCGTATTTGAATTTTTATAGAATTCTCTCAATTTTTAAATCTAATCTTCTTAAGTTTTGCTACAGAAACATTGTTGAAATATATTTAAAAACAACATTTTTCACAAATAAGTCGACAAGTTTTATTCAACAATAGTAAGAAAGCATTCAAAAAAAATTGCTCGAATTTCAAAAGTACCAGCACTTTACTATGATAAGAAGATATCAAAAAAAATTTATTATTATACATGCATTCGCATACTTTGGCGCTTTGTTGATTAAACAATGACATTCTATCATATCAATATATATTTTCAATATTTCACTAATAAAAAGAAACAATTATTAATTGAAAAATAATAAACAATTTCAAGATGAATTCAAACATAAAAAAAACTGCTACTAGTAAGTTGCTAAAATAAGAAAGATTTTTTTAAATATCATATTCATCCCTATGATTTTAATTGCCACGTAATTACCATGAGGTCAAGATTAATGACACTCTAAATATAGATATGGATATGTAAATCTCTGGATGACTAATATAACGAACACAAACAATAGAAATATAATAATAGCAATATTGCAATACACGACGATGGTGTGATCAAATCATGAAAGCAAAAAGAGCATATGTATCATAAAAACGATTATTGTCAATACGTCACAGTAATGTTTTTTTATAAAGAAATGATTCAAACCATTGAAGCAAAAATTTCTCAGAATTGAAGTGTATTACTACCATTGATTTGAACTACGAAAAAAAAATCGATTCACATAAATTATTTCATATTGAAACCTAATGAATGATGTCATATATAGGTAAAAAACAACAATAGAAAAATAAATCACTTCTTTTTTTCTTTTTAATTTTTTTCTGTTTTTTTTTCATTGTTTCTAATAATAAAAAGATAACACGATCAAACATAAGGTCTACCCTTCCTACATAAACTTATTCTCTTTTCTTTTCTTTTGCATTCTTCCAATGGGTAGTAAGAAGAAAACGACGAACGATGCTGCCATTTACATAGAAAGAAATAGTACGTATAACCTCTTTTGCACAAGTAACCAATGTTTGTTCGTATTTATCAGCTATTTTGATATCATATTTCTAACTGGTTTATATCGATTGTTTTGGCATTTTGCCATTCTATGCAAATAAATACATAATTTACAAAAAATAAACTTAAAGCGTTGCTTATTTTTAGATGTACATACCATTAATTATTTTCTTCATTATTTATCATTCTATTCATATTGTAATAAGTTCAAGTCTTCCTTCACCAGAATTACATATCGACTATGGTGGTCAAGCATTGACTGCTTTAAAACATCTATTAAATTTTTTTGAATCTGATGTAAATGATTTAAATCTTGATGGTTTATATGGTTTACGTATAGCACAAGGACAATTAGATGCTCTTCATGAAATTTTAAATTCATCATCAAATAAAACAAATCATCGTTTTATAGATAAAAATAAACATATCTATTCATTATCGAGACAAATTGAACGTATAGCAAATAAAAATTTACTTGTACTAGCTAATACAACATCTTCATATTTACAACGATTTTTACTTATTGCATCAAAACCATTTCGACTTGAATATGAATTAAGAAAAATAAAGAAAAAGCTATTTGAACATGGTTCGCGAAGTTCAGATTTTGATGAAGAAGTATCTGATTCTTGTTTTGCTGAATTACTTGGTTCAAATGATCAATATAATTCAACACAATGTTTTGTAACACAATCATGTTGGAATATGATGACAGCATCAATGACTAAAGATTATTGTTTAACACATCAATTATTATGGTTTTTAGTTGCAAAAAATATTGGTTGTATTGATAATCGTTTAATATCAAATCTTGCAAATAAAAATTTAAAATATTTAGAAGATCAATATTGTTCAAATATATATCAAGATGCTGAATTAAATATAGATGATAATGATAATCAAGATTTATTTCTTGAAGAATTATTATTATGTTCAATTATTGGTTATGAAGAATTTTTACGTTTTGATTGGTTTAATAAAATTCTTTCATGGCAAAATTCAGAATATGGATGTTTTACTGGAACATCAAATTCAATAGAATCAAATTTAAAAGCTAAAAGACATCTATTAGTTGAACAAGGCATGATTCATGGATGTTTATCGCATGAAAGTGGTCTTGCAGCTGGATTATTAGCGACATATGTTAGAGCTCTTTTACAATAATCACTAAACGAAAATTTTTCGAATTATTTTTATAAGTCAAAAAAAAAAAGAAAAATTTAATAAAATATCGTTAGTAGGTTCATTCAATTCTTTAATATTGATACGTTAGTTATAAAAATAACAAGATTATTTTCTTTAAGTAATAATCATTTCATGTGAATGAATATTTCATCTAATGTATTCTTAACAATAACTAATTTACTTGTATAAATATAAGAATTTGTGACAGTTGATTAATTTCTTTCAAAAATGAAATAATAAAAGTTTTTTTATTTTTTTTTTTTTGTACCAGAGATAATCATTAATATTTCTCGTATGAAACTATTACTTCTAATTTTTGTTGAAGACAAGTACATTACAATGTCATTGTACAAAAATAACAATTCAGAAGAGGATTAATAAAATTTCAATAAATAAACAATAAACTAAAACGAGACAAAAAAAAAACTTAAACGCAAAAAATAGAATCGAAACAGACATCGTAAATTTTAAACGATATGTATTACAACCGATTAAAACAAGAAAAATTCTTAATTTGAATTATCAATGTTGTTTTTTTTTTTTTTGTTCAATTCTACATGTTAAATTCGATACAATATCTATCTATTGAAATATAAATCTCTTGTATCTAATTGAATTTAAATGAAATGTAGTTGATATATTAATAGACATTTGATAAGTAGAGTATGTCTGTATTGTTCATATGACCTTTAATTTCAATCTTGTCTTCTTTTGAGTTCTTACATATGTAAATTATTTTTCAAACAAATCAAAGTTCATTCGAAAATTTTTTTTTTTTTTTTAATATCTAAGAAATAAATTTAAAAGTTCAATTCTATTTGAATTAATTTCAATGAAATAGTCATATCTTTAATAAAACTTCATTTTCATATTCTTACCACCAAAAACATCAATAAAATTTTTTTTTTTTTTTTTACTTTCTCTTTCACTTACTCTTTCGTATGGCATCATTCGCTCAAGGTAACATAACTGGTTCGATCGTTGATATTTACAAACACTAAACGACAACGAACAAGTATTGCAAACCAAGAGAAGAGAGAGAATAAGGAGAAAAAACGAACAAGAGTCAATAACAAAAAACGTAGAGATGCATGTGCTACTTCTCTCGACTCTTTCGCGTAATATTATTCAAGTGTTGCAAAATGAGGCAAGAGAAAAGGCGAAACGAACCATTGAAATTACTTTGCTCTTTAGATCACGTAGAGGAGCTAAGAGTACGATGGTAATTGTATAGTCTGTCTTACACTTCGACTTGTCAATCAATACCAACACATCAAATATTAACAATTAGAAAACAGACATACATATATATATATATATCTATATAATATTACATAGAAATTCTCTTTTTCTTTCTCTTTTAAAGTAACAATGTTTAAAAATATTCCAATAAAAACAATCGATAATAGTCATGAAAAACAATTCGATAATGAACAACTTGTTACAATGATACATCGATTGGTTGATGAACGTGATGTATTATGGCGTGAAAATGAATATTTAAAAGCAAAATTAAATGAATCAATATTAATTGAAACAATTAATGAAATGAGAAAAGAACGAGATATATTATTAAAATTATTATTAAATTTATCAACAAATAAAAATAATGATGAACAATTACAATATCAAAATTATTGTACAGACGAACAGTAAATTTTAATTATTTAAATATTATTAAGATTATTAATTGAATTATCTATTTTTATTTTAGTATCAATGGTTATTCTAATGATATACTTCCACCACCTCCTTATCAAACATATAATACAAATTCAAATAGTAAATCACTACATAATAGCAGTCCATCAACTAAAAAACTTTCGTTTCATTCTCGTCAAAATCAAACTCCAATAGTTAATCCTGTCTTATCAATACCTGTAACTGAACTAAAACCATCTCGTCGATCACATCGAACGAAACAAAATTTTGAACAACATCAATACCAACAGCAACAACAACAACAACAACAACAACAGCCAACAGTTATTTATCGTGTTGAAGGTACCAAAGAATGTTTAATGAATCCAAATGAATTATCATCTGTATTTGCGCATGTTAAACATTCTCATCCAAATAAGAAAATTGTTGTTTATAAAACTCCAACAACACCACAAACACATGAATTTAATCAATTAGTTGATGAAATGTGTATAAAACATGGTGTAGAATTAAAACATAGTCAGAATTCACCATTTCAACAATATCGTTCACAATCGTTACAAGACTTAACATCAACAGCCATACTACCACAACGTGATTTTGATTTTCAATTTCAACCTATTGAAAAACAAGAACCAATACGAACAAGTTATACAAAAAATAGATAAATAAAGTTATACAATAAAAAATAAAAAAATAAACACCAAGTTCATTTTTTTTTCGCTTGACTAAATGTTTTCTTCGTTTTTTTTTCTCTATTCGTATGCTTTTTTGTATATTATTGCTGCATTTTCAAGAAATACACGATCAAAGAAACCACATGAACGTGGTGGAGCTAAATCATAATGAACTTTAGGTAATGGAATCTTCAAAACAAAATGATAATAAGCACAAACAATACCAAATGCTCGACCAACACCTAAAATTAAAAAGAATTTGCTTTTTATAATTATTTTCTTTTTTTTTTGCAAATGTAAATTTACAAAACTATCGTTTAGTTAACCTTGAATAAAGATCAAATATTTTTAATTCATTATTTAACATACCAGCATTACAGTGAACATATACTTTATGTCCTTTGTCTAATATTGTTTTCAATACTAATGTTGCTTGTGGTGACATTAATTCTCTTCCAGTTGATGATAAATCTGTAATTGGTACCCATAAAAATAAAAGACCTGCTTGTTCATATGCTTTTCTTAATATATCAACACTTGCTAAATCAAATTCATTATTTGGTTCTGGTACATGATTATCACCAAGAATTCCTTGACAATTTCGTTCAATATCTTTAACAACTTGTAAATTAAGAACAGCTGTTATACCTAATGATCGACCTAATTCATTTTCAATATGTGTCAATAAACGTGGACAACTACCAACATATAAATTATCACTAACACGACCATAATGCATTATTTTATGAGTAACTACTTCATTATAAAAATTTGATGTATGTGTTTTTTCATCAGTTGCTAAATAGAAATATATTTTTATAGAAAAGAAAAATAAATATAGATTTTTGTGTTCTTTTACCACCAGTTTTAACATCAATCCAATAATCAATAGGTGTATAATAAATTTGATCAACTAAATTTTTACCATCATCTCTTAACCATACTCGAGTTTCTTCTCTTTTTCCTTCCCATATTTCATCATTGAGAACATATTTATAATCAAATTCTTTAATATCACTTGATAAATTAATATCTAATCGATAAAAACGTGGTTCATTTGATAATTTTACTGGCCGATAAAATTCTTTAGTAAGAAGATTAAGTTGTGGTGCTTTTTCTATAGACCAAGAACCTAATTCTGGTAAACTACCACAAAGACGAATAACAGCAGTTGAATTAAGAATTGCCGTGATTAACGCACCAGGAACAATTAAACCAAATGTATGTTGCATTTTTATCATTGAGTTATTAAAATTAAAATATACAAGGTTTTTTTTAGAGATTAATTACTTATGAAAAATTGAGAATATGATTTATCTAAAGAAAATATTATGAATCAAGTTTAATAAGTTCATAGGAATTCTCTATATTGAACAAAATAAAAATAGATAATTTAATCTTCAAAATATTATTTGTTTATATTTATTGAAATAAAAAAATATAAAAAAATATATTTATTCACAATGCTGGAGTACATTTAAATGAAAGAGAAAAAATGTCCTTATACTCATGTATGACGTAGTTCATTTTCCGCTAACGTTTGATTGGTTCTGTTTGTTTCAACTGCTTGACTTTTATTAGATTCTGTGAGCGCCACTAGTCGATACATGAGTATCTTTAGTTGATACTTTTCCTGTCATTTTTGTGCCATTAGTTTCATTAGCTGTTGCTACTGCTGATATATCTGTTTTAATAGTAGTTGTACCTGTTGATTGATGAAGAGTTGATGCTTGACCTAAATATTTTGCTTGACTTGTAAGATCATTTGTTTCTAATGCTGCTCTTGATTGTGCTTCTTGTAAAATATCAAGTTTAAGACTAGCTGCTTTTTTATTTAATAGATCAATATCATTTTTAGCACCTTGTAATATATCACCTTGTAATTTATTTAATTCTTTTTCAATATCAGCTATTCGTTTTGCTTTATTAGCATCAATTTCTTCAACCATTTTTTGTAATCGTAAACGATATTCAGCATCAATTTGATAGGTCTCTTCATTCGCTTTTCGAAGAAGTTCTTCTTGTTGTTGACGTGTACGTGCAACAATCAGATCGATTTCACGTTGAATTTCTACATCGATTTTTGCTGTTTGTCGATTAGCATATTCATTGATTTGTGCATGTGTTGAACCTACAAAAAAAATATAGATTTTAAACAATATTTCAATTTTGAATTCAAGAATAAAAATCAAATAACTAACTTAATTTCGAAACAAGATCAGTAAGTTTCTGTTGATTAGCAATTGATACAGTTGAACTAACATCTGATGAAACAGTCGATTTAATATTGACACCATCATGTTGTATTGTTCGACCTTCGATAATTTGTTCATCTGTATTAATATTTATTGGTTTATTATCAGTTTTACAACCAAGTTTTTCACCACCAAGTATTAATGAATTACATGTTTCATTGTCACATTTTACATCACTTTTATGTGAATGACAATGTTCATCATCTTTTCCTAATAATTTATTAATAAATTGGTTCATTTCTTCAAAAGAAAAAATTACCAAATGAAGAAGCACAATTATCTATATATATATTTACAAAAAAAAAAAAGTCAAACTCACTTGTAGGTTTGTATTTAAAAGCAACGTTTCGATAGAGAATGTATAAACGATTTGATTGATGCTTTGATGGCAACTGCTTTTATATGGTGAACAAACGATGTCAACCAGAACGACTGTACTCAGTCACACTGTATTCTTTTTTTGTATTTTAGTAAAAAATCATTTATATATAAATAGATATTACTCGCATCTTAGATAACATTCTCCGTTGCTCTTTTTTACTTTTCTAATTAGGTTAATGAGTAAATAAAAAATCAAGGATTTTGTCCTTGTTTTCATTTTTATTTTTATTCAATAAACAAATAATAACACACAAGCTTTTTTCTATTGCTATCATTATTTTTGCCATTTAAAATGCGCATATGCACGGTTTAGTTCCGCATTTCGATGTATTTCTTGTTTTTTTTTTACTGTTCGTCCTTGATTTTGTGCTGCATCCATGATTTCTTTTGCAAATAGCGTCCAAAATCTTTGATCATGTGGTCGTGCATCATGTGTACTATCAATTAATAATCGAATAGCAGTATAAGTACCACGTGTTGGTGACATGGGTATTGGTACAGAATATAGTGTACCACCTTTAGCTATTCGTGTAAGACCTATGATATAATAGAAAACAAATTAAGTATCTCGAAAAAAAAAAAAAATTCTTTTTGTTTAATTTTATTTACATACGAACAATAGGTGTTGCATTTTTAATTGCTTGCTTAAGTAAAGTAACTGGATTACATTCAATTGAATCACGTTCTTCTTGTGTTTTAGCTCGATTATATTTTCCTATTTGTATTAATTTTATTGTACGAAATGTTTTATGCATTAATTCTTCAACTAATTCACGATCTCCTTCACGTAATAAAATACCAATAACACGTGATATAATTGGATCATGAAAACAAGAAAATGATTGATATGTTGGTATAACAGGTTTAATAGGACGATAATGTCGTTCATCTAAATCATCCATATTAAGTAAATCTGTACGTGTTTGAACAGGATCAACATGTGTTTCATATTTTTCCCACCAAGTTGAATTTTTTTGACCATGATATTGTGTTTGTCCAGCTGTTAATGATGGTATTGTTAAATGAATAAAACGTTTCAATTGAAATAATGAATGACGAATCAGATATGAAGATTTTAACATTATTTCTAAATAAATCATTTAACATATAACTTGTTTTATTATCTTTGTTCTGAACGTTTTTTTTTTCTCTTCATTTTTTTAATTATCAAAAAAAAAAACAACATTAACCCCTCACACACAAATTAACAACGAATGAGTTTAATATATATATGTATATGTATAAAAAAGAAAAAGACAAACAACAACAGGAAAAATGCCGCCAGATCATCATCACTGCACACAAATACAGAATTGAGTTATAATATATATTTATTTACAATGTTCAGATAGCCATTTGAGACCTTCTGATAAACCCGTACCATGCAAAGCTGAACATGGCATTATAGCATATGGACGGTTTAATTTATCTAAATGTAATGCTTGCCGTATTTCAGCTGGTTGCATACATCCAGGCATATCTTGTTTATTACAAAATACAAGCAGAACAGTATTACGCATTTCACGATCATTAATGATTTTTTCTAATTCACGACTTGCTTCTTCCATACGTTCACGATCACATGAATCAACAACAAATATAAGTCCTTGAGATCCTGTATAATAATGTCGCCATAATGGACGAATTTTATCCTATTAAAAACAAAAATTAATCAAATAATATGTAAAAAACATCAAGAATCTATTATTAGAATTTTATATTTATTAAAAATAACAAATAGCATATAGACTGAAATCTTTGCAAGGCAGCCATCATTATTAATAAATAGATCACAAACTTTTTATTTAAACTAGCACTAGAATAATATACGTATGATATGGATTTTATAGATTTTAGTCAATATTTTAGCTAAACAAATAACCGAAAATATCCTACATATTGTCATCGCTGTCTAGACATTCGTCATTGTAACGATTGACCTACAAGTAATTACGCTGTTAGTATTTTTAAGGGTTTTTTCCATCTAATTGAGATATCTTCTTTTTTTTTGATCAAAAGGTATCGCTTGAAGTTCTGCACAAAATCCGTATATGATTGGGGAACAAAAATATTTTTAGATATATTAGAAAAACAGATAAAAACTAAAAGACATTCATACAAGTGTAAAAGATAAAAATGAAAATGATAGTGAACTAGCGAAAATTTTTCATGCCTTGCCTGAAATGGTTTCATTAAAAAAAATTAAATTGTGAATAAAAATAATCCAGGATACTAGCTCTATCAATTAGTTATATCATTTCAATCGTCCATGCACAACTCGAACAAAAATGAAATGACATCTACTATTCAACAAACGTGTGTTAACAAGAAAATTGTCTATTTAAATCAAACATGTACAACTGTTATCACATGAAAGTTGTGACTATTTCCCATAACTGGAAATTAAAGAGTCAATCGTGACTAAACTTAGTGAAAATTTGATCTATAGGCTATTTTTGTGTATTCATATCGAAAAATCATTAGCCATTGAATCTGTCTGATTCGATTCAGTTAGATTATACTTTATGAGATGAACTGACTGAAACTATGAATTGAACTTTCATAACAACAAAAGCAATATTGATAGACGGAACCATATACTTTTACCAAAAATTTAACAAAAAGATAAAATTTTGCATTCTATACTTGATTTTACTGTACGATAATATTTGATGTAAAAGCGATGGAGAAACTTTTATTCGTTGAATAAAATATATCATTTTATGCAGAGAATATCAAGCACTATCTTTTGATAGAAAAGATGTTTCAATTAGATATAAAATATATGAGAGATAGTTTGAAAATTCTAACAGCACAATTACTTCTGGACTACTCGTTATAAAACATAGCTATTTAATATAAATATTTTTTCAGTTTGATAAGACCTAAAACAAACTCAATATATATTATTTGAATGATTCAATGTCAACTTATCCGCTTCACTTAAAAGCCTCTTATCACATATTAATATTTATTTTCGATATATTGATGTATGGGAAGTATTAGAAAATACTTTTTTTGTATACTGTAAGTACGACAGCATACAAGTATATGACGCATACAAAACGGAAGTACGGTCAACATATGTGTCAAACAAAGATGAGTCTATAGAAATCAAATGTTTTGAAAAAAAAAAGACGAATAACTCATCTATCTTTTAAAATAATTTTTAGAAGTTTTTCTCTTGTATACTTACTTGTCCACCAACATCCCACACATTAAATTTAACATGTCCTAATAAAACAGTTTCAACATTAAATCCAACAGTTGGTATTGTTGTAATCGATTCTTTGAGACGAAGACGATAAAGAATTGATGTTTTACCAGCATTATCTAAATAATACAAAGATTAAATTAAATTTTATTGATTTTTTTTTATAGAAATTCTACCAAGACCAAGCATTAATATTCGATAATGTTTCTTTCCAAATATTGAACCAAACATATTCCCCATCGTTTTTCTTTTTTAATGAATAATTTTTGTTTCTTAATTCAAATAATTGATGCCAGTTTTGATAAAATAAGAAATTAAATTTACTTGTTGTTATCTAAAGAGCATTGAATGTCTATGTCTACTATTACATATGTTAACTTAATACAAAAAAATGCTATGATCAAACAATGATTCATCATCAATAAGACGAAACCAATTTATATTTATCTAGTTACCAATAGAAATACAAAGAGGTCACTAGTAAAGGTTGTTGACATGACAACAGACAATATAATGAAAATTAACACGTGTAAAATTTCATTTCTAATTTAAAATAATTTTTTTAGCAATGTCTAGCGCTTTGGTAAGTTAAGATTTATACATATTCAATGAAAAATATTTACATTTTTATTTGTACATATAATATTCTTGAAATAGAAAAGATTAGAATCTTTTCATACATTATCATTAAATGATTATTTAATGTTTAATAAAAATGCACAATCAAAAAATTCTACTAAACAAAAAACTAAAAAATCAAATTTCGAAAAAATGACTAAAGAACAAGTAACTTAGATCTTAATATCAAAAGAAATTGATAAGATTAATAATAAAGTATCGAAGAAAACAAAATTAAATAAAAAACGTACTACAACAAAATCGAAGCGAAAAACGAAAACTAATGTATGCAAGAAAATTATTTTCAATATTTTTTTGCTGTTGATTTTGTGTTTTAATAATTTTTTTTTTCTGGATGATAAAATAATTCTATGAATCTATTTAGAAATCAGCAACACCAAGTAATAAAAGTGCAAAAGCCAAAAAGAAGAAAGAAGAAGAAGAACGAAAGAAAAAAGAAGAAGGTAATGATTTATTATCATCATATGGAATTGTTTTTCGAACTTATCAGATAAGAAAATTTTTTATCATTTATTTTTGATTAAAGAAAAACCAATATGTATGTATTCTATTAGTCATATGAAGAAATATTTAGATTATAAAATGACATAGATGAATGAAGTTCTTTTGCATTTCATAGGCAATTTAACTTTTCCGAAAGTCATATATCATTCTCGAAACAAAAACAATACAATTCTAAATGGTATTTTGATGCATCGGAAATTTCCCTTCTTTTTTTTTCCGTATGCAGACTACTATCAAAAGTTCAGAAAAAGGGAATAAATTGTTTTTGATAAGATAAGACATTACTGAGATTCATATGAATTACAATTACGCTTTTATTATGACTTTACAAATAGTTTTGAAAAGAAAAGAAAAAGTCGAAATTTGAGATTTTTTGCTCGAGATTGTGTATAAATTAAAATAGATACTAAATCATAAGTCGTAGAAACCTCATTTTTATTTCTAACAATAACGAATAAAAATAGCCGCAATTTCTAAGTATTGATTTCCACCAGGATTTCAATGATCATATCTAATAGTTAGCTTAACCTGACTCTAATCGAAAAACTCCAATTATTGAATTCTTACCTTCAAGCTTCTGCTCTTGTTCAAAATTTTTCCTACGGATTCAGTTATATATCACTAACTTGAATACGAAATGATCTTTATTAAAAAATTGTTCTAGATATGTTTCTTGAAAACAATGGCAGTTCCATTAATTACTTTAAGGTTTTCTCCCTAGACAAAATTTTCTTTTCAAGAATATAAAGCAAAAATATAATGAATTATCTTGAACGACTTCAACATATCATAACAAGTCAATATATAACTTTCATATCATATAATAGACAAAAAAGTTTTAGAAAATAATAAATGAGAAATTTCTTATCGATAAAAAGTGTTAAATTAGTTTTCATTCTATCATCAAGTAATATTTTTTGCTTATATGTTTTCATTTTGATGAAATCTAAAATTGATAGTTTATATCCTAGAATTTTAGCTGTCGAGGTACCTATTAAATAACATCAAATTTGGAAAAGTTTGACAATTATTTTTAGAAATAGTTTTTCAATGTTTTATTAGTTAGAGTACAAAAAAGTGCTGCTTGGGGAAAATTTGACAAACTAAGTTTATCGATAGAAAAAAAAGATTAATCGTTCAGTTAATATTTATAAATCTGCTCTTCATCTTGATCTATCATGTACTACAAAAGATCAAAGTGTTTTTCACTTCTAATTTTGTAAAGTATAGCACATGTTATGAACATAGATTACTGAATATATATTAATTGATAACAGATGTGTTCATTCGTTTTTCATCTTTTTAAATGAACTCGTTAGAATCATAAGTTTGTGTTCTTCCTAAATATGCCATTCAAATTTTTTGTAGAAATTATGATTCGATCTTTTAAATGCTTGTAAAATAAGTTTAGACGAATTTTAGCATGCTAAAATTTATTCAATGTAGAAAAAGAAATGAACGAGAAGAAACATTTCTCAATACAACGGGATATTAATGATTAGATACCTTTAGGATATTTGTTCACAGCGAATGTTTTGATAAGAAACTCTGCTAGTCTATATAATTTTCTCGATTTATATGAAAAATATACTTGCAAAGAAAGCTCAGACAAGAAACCATCAATTTTCTTTGTTCAAACTTAATTTTCATGCCGCGAAAAGGTTAGTTTATAACTTTTAAACCATAAGTTCTACAAAAATTTTCAATCCATATTCACAAAGAAAACAAAATTTTGATTCTAATTCAATCTTTTCAAATATTTACAGACTCATTAAACAGACTAAAAACTGAAGGAACACTTTTTTTGTAAAATTTTCATGTTAACTTTACCTGTATTTCTGTAATAAATAATCCATAAAAGCCTAAAAATCTAACAACAAATAGATGTGCACATCTACTGCATATATTATGAATCTAAGCTTCCATCGGTATGAATACATTGGAGAAAAAAAAAATGTATATATATATGGCTTAAGGCAATCAAAATTTTTTTCTGTTAGAATCTTACATAGAAAAAAAAGAAGAAGAAAAAACAGAAGTAGAAAAGAAAAAGAGAAGCAAGCCAACTTGCTTGGTTTAATACTGACAGCGGTGGGATTCGAACCCACGCCTTTTACGACTGGTGCCTAAAACCAGCGCCTTAGACCACTCGGCCACACTGCCAATATGAATTCATAATTGATTTTCATGTCATAGAGGAAGCTCAACAACGTGCTGAAATTGCTGAAAAAGAACGTCTGGAAAATGAAAAACGACTTGCTCAAGAAAAATCAAATATAGCTAAAGAAGTATTATAATTCGATATGTTTTCCTTTTTTTTGTTTTTTGAATAATAATAAATAATTAAGATCACTGAATTACGACGTCGAGAATTAAGTGAATTTTATGAATTTATTCAACCACGACAACATGATGCAAATGAAGTACGATATAAACAACGAGAAGAATATAAAGTAAAATTAATTTTATAAAAAGAAAAAAATTTGAACTAATTTTTTTTTTTTGTTATAGTGGAAACGTGTTATGCAATGTGATGGTACACCTGATCCAACAGTTTTACCTGAAATAAATTCATATATATCATTATGGCATGATGAACAACAACGAATTGATGTTGAATATACAATGAAACAAACAAATCTTGTTTTATCTCTTATTAAAGAATTAAATTATGTTATTAATTCAATTCCAAATGGTTCATCAGAACTACAACGTATACCAATTTATAAACAGGTTTATATGAAAATAAATAAATAATTTTCTTTTGAATTCCTTTTTTTCTAGACAATTCAAAAACTTGAAGATACATTACATTTAAAATGGTTTCATACAGCTCATTTTATAATGCTTAAAGCAAGTGATTTACAAGATTTAGAAACAAATAATTTTCAATATACAGCTGAAAATGAAAATGTAACAATTTGTATTTGGGGTAATCTTAGTCATAATCCAAGGTTTTTAATTTAACATGTTTTTTTTTTGTATATTCATTTAAATAATCTTTTTTTTTTTAATTTTCTGTAGAATAAAAAATTATCAATTTGATAAATATCATTTTGGTTTTGATTTACCAAAACCATTATCATTAGCTAATATAGCTATAATTGGATTTTTTCTTAAATATGATTATTATTCTGAACGTTCAGTATTATCAAAATGTCGTGTACAAATCAATGATTATACATATGGTATATTTTTATATAGTTGAAATTTAATTTTTTATATTTTGTTCCTTTTTCTATTAGATCCAATACCTGAACCATATGTTGATGAAACAGAAAAACAATCAACAGAAAATGAAGATTCAACTAAAGATCAATTTGATGCTTCATTACCACCGGAATTAAGAAAATTAATGGAAGAAACAAAACAACGTGAAGAAGCAGCTGCAGCTGCAGCAGCCGCAGCCGCTGCTGCTGAAGCTCAAGCTACTAAAGAAAATACAATGACTGATCGATCTACGACACAAATAACTTCAGATGAAATACAAAATGGAAAAAATTTAACTCAAACATCATTAGATAGAACAAAATCAAATGATAAATTATTAAATGGTATAATAAAATTAATATCATTTAGGATTAAGATACATTTTTTTGAGAGTCAAGATTATATTCGATAATGGTGGTGCTATAATAGTTTTAAAAGAAAATCATACTTACGTCCGTTGTAGTGTCACCATGAATTATAGAAGAATAACAAAGGAAGTCTCTCCATTGATTAATTACTTCTGAGTCGAGACAATGTGCATCTTTTAGAGTCTAATGAGTTATGAATACCCTGAAAAATGAGTTTGTTCTGTTAGTTTATCGCAGACGAGATACTGCATGTTTTGAGTAGTTTTCAAATAGAAGCTACGTTCTTCAGGAATACCAGACAAATTAATTATTAAATTTCGACTTGAAATTTTACGCAGAGATAAGCATTAATTAGAATTGTAAAAATTTTAGATCCTTTCATTTGATCCTATCCTGAAATAAGAAATTTAAATTTATCAATGAGATATAACGGATACTCTTTAACGTAGTTGTATATTAAGATAAAAATAACGAAAATATCTTATATTTTTCATAACAAATGATTCTATTTAAGATCTA